TGGCAAGTTTTACATCTAACCAGTCCTGTGGTCTGGCTGAACGTTTTGGGAGTTTCCATACCGGGGACACCAGAAATGGGCTTCACACATGGTATATTTCATTAGCCCCCACCGCCCCGAATCAGGAAGAACGTTTGTTTGTTTGTTTATTTGTTTAAGGTGGCACTCGGCAATATTGCAGCTATGTGGCGGCGGTCTGTAAATAATCGAGTCTGGATCAGAAAATCCAGTGATCAACATCATGAGCATAGATCTATGCAATTGGGATACGATGCCATAGGTGGAACACATTCTAGTAATCGTTTGCTCTCGTTTGATGGCGCAGCTAAATGACTTATTATGATGAAGAACAGAGAGAGAATGAGTGAATGTTTGTGCCGCGTCAGCAGTATTTACAACACTATAATAGCCACATGTAATGATCTACCCGACGAGGTGCGATGACAGACATTAAGACAGATCACACAACATCTAGCAGTATCCTTCTCCTGTAGCTATACCATATAGCTGTCCTTTCCCGCAGTAAGCAGGTCGCTGTGATAAAGCTGCAGAGAGCTCAAGGCGGCGCCAAATTTCACACATTCACCCACTCTATTGTCCCTGGAATCCACGCAGTGCATGGAGTATTTACACATGTATACTTAAGCGACAAAGATATCTAATCTGTGACATTCTTCAAGGATTAGAAGGCGCTGTTATGATTTTCCTGACCTGCCATGCATCTACACTTGAAAATGTTTACAGAATTCTTGACTGTGGATTAGTATCGTGGCAAACAAACTTGACCCAGAAGCGAAACAAAACAATTTAATAATTCTTACAAATTCTTTTTCGAGAATCTGGACTCGTGAGCATAAATATGTATGTGTGACCCATCATGGGTGTATACAGTTGGCCTCATACATAATTCATGACGCAAAACTACATCGTGGTTGTTTCCAGAGAATGGTCGATTGTTAAAAAGGGGGGGAAAGAGATTTAAGAGGAGTACGAACAGTGCCTCTGGGCTCTGCAGCTCATCTATACTATATAAGGTCTGTGAGTAAGTGAGTGAATGAGTCTTACGCCGCTGTTTGCAACATTCCAGCCAAAGACACTATACTTTGGCTTCACACATGTTACCCATGTCACACATGTTACTGAACGCTTTTATTGCTAGGCTACCCCAGATCGGAGATCACACAACTGCAAGAGTAAAGCAGAAGATGCTGTGGATATAATGGAGATTTACGCAATAAAGGATGTCATAACATGGTAATTAAATTACACATTGATACATACATATACAGATTTGTATACATCCATTTTTGTTAGGACTGTCACAGAATTATTGATGATAGTTTTGAAATAAAAATGAGCAATACAAAAACAAACTATCACATGCTACTGGGCATCTTGCATACAGTTAAGGGAAACCGAAGGTATCAGTGTTAAATGCAGAATCGGTTGAGCCACAGGTAGAAATAAAATTGTAAACATGGGCTTCATATCGGGGCGTCTTGCGGGTCATGGTGATGTTTCGTTGGGGTTATTCTGCAAATAGGCGATGCCGGCTCGAGAACGATGATGTCTAGCGTTGTCATCCATGACTAGGGCTGCGCAATATAACCGGTTTATCGGTATTTACCGGATCAGACATGAAAATTATACGAATTGCGATACGCTGATCGAAAACCGGTAGTTTGATTTGCATTCGGAAAACTTCGTTACACTCGGAAATCTTCGGATAATTTCTTGTTTCATTTGTGCCAAATATTATTAACATTTTTATTTTATCATGATTAAAAGTTGTTATTAAAGCTTAATCAAGCATAGTGATTGTGTTGTGTTTTTGCTCTATAAATCAAGCATTGACTTGATTATAAGTAGTTTTTTGTTTAAAAATACTTCATTGCAATACATGCTTTCGCATCGCAATATATCGCTATATGAAAATTCTCTGCAATACCCACCCCTTCCATGACTATCGGACTTGTCAGAGGGTGGCTATGAAAATGTGTCATGGCGAAGGTAACCGTTACTTCCTGTTGATAACGCTGACCACTGAGTGCTCCAGCTACTGTACTGAGATCCGACTTGAAGACAAACGAAATGCAGCTCCACACCGTACCTGAGCCACCACCAACGGGTTCGGCTGCATGGATCATGGTGATGCCTCGTTACGACGTCTCCATGCATACGCGATGATGACCGTCAGTAAGAAGATGGCGACTTTCATCAGACCAGGGAACCCTTCGCGATGTCTTAAAGTTGCGGCCTTCTTCTGAAGATACAGGTGGAGAGACGGAATTCCTCCCTCCATTGTTGCTTTCTTGGAGCCTGCAACACATGCACCAGGCGACCCTGCCTGTGCCTATCTGTGAAGAAAGGACGTCTGATCGAAAGACATTCAATCAGATTAGCAGCCAGCAGCCTACTTCTGATGGTACTAGAGGAAAGTTGGGCTACCACTCTCCATTGCCGTCGCAGTTCTTTGGCATGGGTCATAGGATTGAGTCTTGCCATAAAATTAGGTCTCATGGACTTAGCCATCATGGGTATTGGTCTCCCAGGTCTTGGGCGATCCTTTGCTTCACCTCTCAAGTAGACAAGATAACTGTGTGGTTTGAGATAGTGTAAAGAACATGTTTTACATGTGCATTCCATGCTAGGGTATGATCTCCTGTTTGGACCATAATTTTAAAAATTGTCCAAGGATTCAGTTAGTGCTTTTTCATTGTTCATGTGTACAGGTGGACGCATCTCCCAGATAGTGACTCACAGTGGACACAGTATTTTGTGGTTTAAGGCAGATCAAACATATTGTCACATGAATCACTACGGTATGCAACGAGGCAATATCAATAAACCAGCATAACAGTGCGACATTCATTCTGGATACGATGGAGTCCAGCCAGCAGCTGTGAGGATGTCGCAAATTACTGGGTAATACCTCTCAGTTGGGGTTCTCCTCACACTGAGCGTCGTGGATGAGTGAGTGACTTGGCGTTCGACTCGAACTTAAACAGTGCGTCACTCTCAACACATTGTGTTACCGTTAAGTACGTCTACTTATTTAAAACAAATATCACGGACAAAAGGCTGACCACAGATCATCGTCGTGGAAAGTGGAACTTGAACCAGTGATCCTGGCAGCAAGGGGACACAACTCGTCTGTACCAGAACCCTCACTCGAGACAAAACACCTATTGTAATACACTACCTAAGAGACGTCAAAGAACTCCCGATACAAATATACTTTTTAGTTAATCTCTCATGCTACTCAAATTATTGGTTTGGATTGGAATGAATGTTGTTTCACGCCGCATTCAGCAATATTCCAGCTTTCTTTTTTTCCAAAACCTACCCCTAAAATCAATCTTTCTGTCATCAATTTCAATGTATACTTATTTTGCTATTTTATCCTCTGTATGCATTGTATGTATGCTTTTATGTAGCGCCTTGAGCATGTATCAGTGGGTGGAAAATGGCGCGCTAAAAATATCCATTATTATTATTATTTTTATATGGCGGCGGTCTGTAAATAATCGAGTCCGGATCAGACAACCCAGTGGTCAACAGCATGAGCATCGATCTACGCAATTGGAATACGATGACATGTGTCAACAAAGTCAGCGAGATTGACCACCCGTTACAGAAGATCAATTCTAACCCGGATCTTCACGGGTAGCTAGTACTCCAATGGAGTTAAAGAAACCTGATGTTTAGTTTATCTGTCATGCATTTAGCTCACCTATAAGGATCAGTTGAGTGAATGTCTCAACAGCGTATGTAATAGGAAAGATTTGGGTGTTCTTTAACTTCTTTTGAGCAGGATACCAAAACTGTCAGAGCAACAACGATCATGTTATTCACTCATCTGAACTTTTGTTCAGGTGAACAAATACAAATTCCACCTGCCCCCTCCTAAAAACGTAATTGATATGGGTGTTCCCGTAGCTGTCCTCACCCCAGGGAGATTTGCCCACTGTCGTGTCTCATCACTTTCCAATGTTAACAGGCCGTTCTCCTGGATCGACTTGATCTACGGTGGCACATCCCTCCAATACCTGGACGGTTGTCACTTGACGCGATATATTTGAACACGTCGGTACTATCAAAGGTTTACCTGGATGTGGGAAGGTGAAGCCAGGTGTGAAATAGGTGAAGAGGTGCTTAACCGGTAATTCGAGAAGGGGTCGTCTCAACAATAGCCAGGTAGAATATCGTGATTTAAATTGCGGAAATATTTGGCAGCAGGTTACAATTCCCGGTCCCATATTTATTCAGCGTGTTTCAATCAATAGTCTTCTATTATCTCATTATTTACCCCTGAATTCATTATGCACCCTGAAATTAAATGTATGCAGTTTACGGTGAAGCGGTTATTCACAAATACACAAAAGGAATAATGTTCCCTCCAGTAGCGTCAAGCATGATGCTAGGGCATATGGGGGGCTAAATGGTACGATATAAAAGTAAAATCTTACTCATTATTTATTTGTTCACATACCGTAAATCCTATTTAAATCAAATAAACGCCCATTCCAATCATACGTTTGATCAAATGGGGGGGTTATCTCCACTGGCTGAAGCCTATTTCCAGTTAGATCTCGAGCGAGTGCGTGTGTGAAGTGAGTATAGTTTTGTGCCGACTTTAGGAGTATTCCAGCAAATACCAGGGTGGGGTATTAAGCGAACGCCTTCACCGCCAGGCCAGCCCATAACCCCACGCGTCACTGCTGTCATTCGTCATGGCCAGAGACCACTGGTCGACAGCATGAGCACAAACCCTCAACGTTGGTACCATGGCACACAATCGGCCTGTTACACTTTGTAAACGTTTAGTGGTAACTTAAGTCACTTCTTATAAACAAATGGTACATGGACCCTTAATCCTCCCAGAATCCCCAGTGGAACCTCTGTTCTTACACACTGTGAGAGCTGTCCTATGATGAACAGCACATGACTGTTTGAATGCATTTGTTACCAATTAACAATTTGCCAAAAAACGATACACAATCTCTGGCAGTTGTTTATTTACAAAATATACAGTAACAAAATGATCTAGAAAATGTTCGTGACTGTCACCTTCGCATGATATGGTGAGATGAGAAATGACGTGATTTCATTAATGAGGATGCTATGGATGCTACCATGCAGGTAGAATGCCGACTTGAATATCTTGATGGCGCATCAGTACATAAATGAATACGAGGAACCAAGTCCAGAGTACCGATCACTAAAGAGTTCCCAGAGCGACGACCTTCGTAAGCCTATGATAAACTTTAGAGTTACGAGAGGTCGTAATGTTACGAACGCTTTGTGGATCGGGACCTGGCCCTGATAATTCAGAAACCTTCCATTCCAGACTGTTATCTCTTGCAACTTCTATACACAGTGTAAGTGACCTTACTTTGCACCCATCATTCATTTGGACCAAAATTTCTTCAAACAGGGCCCAGTGCCTCAGTCGTAAGTCTATGTTATAGTATGGGAGTTACGATCATCTTACCGCTACGATCCCTTTGTGGAAGGGGGCCCTGCACTGACGACCATATGTGGTTTTACTGAGTAAGTGGGTGAGGGAGTGTGGCATTATCACTATATCAGAATTAGATCACAAATGGTCTTTACAGGTGTAGGGAGTTAAACCTAAGATTTCTGGTCTATGATCTAATAATTGAACCTCTTGACTACTCCAAAACTTGTATGGAAAATGAAATTTGGGTGTACATGATGATGACAGAACTTAGGGACTGTTCATAATTTATGGATGTGTGTGCGTGCTTGCATGTGTGGTGCGTGCGATGATGATGATTTTTATGTAGAAGCATGTATGAATGTGAATGACTCCCCACAACACACACACTCTTAAAATTATCACCCCCACTAACCATAAATAATGAACGGTCCCTTAGCTACTGTAGCTAAGCTGCACAGTAGTAGTTTAATATCACAGTCACAAGTATCCCAGCCATGTCAAGCTGCCTGTAAACTAACATGAACCACATGTGACTGGTTAATACCCACGACCTTGGTTCGACAGTTGTTGTCTGGGCAGTTGTTGTAAGTACCTCTCGTTACTGTTTCATATACATTTAGCAAATATTCCGAATGACCACCTTTCTGTCAAAAAATGTGAAGCTTGGGTGAAAATGAATGGAAATTAGTAACAGTATGAGTGATCTCAACCCTTACAGTACAGAATTCAGCAGAGTCACACATCAAGCACCCAATCTGTCATATAGCTGGCCCCTATAAGTATTAAGTACTGTAGGAACATCAAATATATACTGGTATTCCTGAGATTGACATCTGGGAAATCAATGACGGATCCAGGATCTTGTTCAAGACCCAGCAAAATTACATGGGGAACATACATGTCATGAGATGTCTGAAAGAGGGTGGTCCACATGCCCAGTATATCCCTTCTGGATCCCCCCTGTGGATCTTCTAGTGGAGTAGCCAGAAGATCCCCTTCAGTTGAGAAATTGCCTTGCTACACACCGCCAAGACACTAACTGCAGACTCCCACCCAGATACAAACACTCATATCCCACCAAGTCTCATTACTAAAGCACTGAAAGCATTTGTCCAAACTGAAACTACAGCCCTTTGTCTCCCCAGTCGGCAGAGATGTAAAATCTTTAACATACAAAGGGCATCTGCTTAAGTAGCCATGTTCATTCATGTGGAATTACCTGGAACTGTTTTAAGTTCTGTCTCTTATGCTGCATGTGTCTGGGTAACTGAAGCCATCCAGTCAGCACCATAGAGATACCTGTCGGGTGTGATGAGTGAAAGCTTTCACCACTAGGCTACCCCACTACCCCGTTAGGATGATGGTTCAATGGGTAAGTCTTCAGTTGTCCACTTGATGGTTGTGTTCAGTTCTCCTCATCCTCCTCTTGGTTCCCGTCCTCGGCCTCCTCATCCACGTCCTGCTCCTGTTTCCAGCGTTTGGCAAGCGCCAGCAACTTCAGGTTGGGTTTCGCCGCCTCTTCGTCAGGGAAGATGTAGTCATAGTATTCTTCCCAGCCAGCTTCCGTCTGAAGACAGAAATGAACATGATTCAGAGACTTTAAAATATGATCCAGAGATGCCAAAACTATTTTGGCCCTAAGTGTAATAATAGAGGTCAAAAGTGTAATTTGGACCTAAGATGTAATACTCATAGTGGTATTCTTCCTAGACATAAACACATGCCAATCCTTATGCTCCATACGAAAATTGTTGGTCTGTGACTCAAAATACTTTAATTCCTTACAAGAATTGGAATGAAATGCTAACATGATTCCAGAGACTTTAAAACTATGATCTATAGAGAATGAATAAAATTTCATAAAATCTATAGAGAATGAATATTTCATAAAAACCAAACAAAAGACCCAAACCCTCCTAAAGCATGAAGACTCAAAAGACACAAACTTAAATAAGAGTACCCAACAGAATTAACGTCCTTTCAATGAAATGACGTCTCCTTCAGCATTCTCAACAATCAAAATTGTTTTAAAGAATCTGCACATCACTTTCAGCAAAATCTTTCCTTGTAACTTTATATTCCCACCAATTATGAAACTTGAGTGATGATTCAGGACTCCACAACACACTTGTTCCCTAAAATTCCCTGTTACAATTCCTCTTATGATATTGCTGTACCCTCCCTCTCCACTAAAGCTGGTAATACTGACCCCATCTTCTGCCTGTATCTTCCTCCTCTTTTTCACCTTCTGTGGCATCAACTTCTGCACTACCCGTTGCGTCTCAATGTCACCATTCTCCCGCTGTGAAGAGAGATAGAGAGGTGTCCATTGAAATTTAGTGTGGGAATAAAAGCTTTGACTCTGGCTTAATGGTTTGTCCATCTTTGAAAGTAACAAAGGCATAACAAGCTGAAAACAATTTTGACCATTAAAGAAAAAAAATATGCATGCAAAAACATAGTTTCCCCATCTGTTTCTCTAGTTGGTCCTAGTTTCCATATCTGTTACTCTAGTTTGTCCTAGTTTCCATATCTGTCACTCTAGTTTATCCTAGCTTCCCCATCCGTTTCTCTAGTTTGTCCTAGTTTCCCCATCTGTCACTCTAGTTTGTCCTAGTTTCCCCATCTGTTTCTCTAGTTTGTCCTAGTTTCCCCATCTGTCACTCTAGTTTGTCCTAGTTTCCCCATCTGTCACTCTAGTTTGTCCTAGTTATCCTCCTGTTTCCATATCTAGTTTCCCCTAGTTTGTCCTAGTTTCCATATCTGTCACCCTAGTCTAGTTTGTCCTAGTTTCCATATCTGTCATCCTAGTTTGTCAGTTTGTCCTGTCACTCTTTAGTTTGTCCTAGTTTCCATATCTGTCACTCTAGTTTGTCCTAGTTTCCATATCTGTCACTCTAGTTGGTCCTAGTTTCACCATCTGTCACTCTAGTTTGTCCTCCTAGTTTGTCCCATTTCCATTCACTCTGTCACTCTAGTTTGTCCTAGTTTCCATATCTGTCACTCTAGTTTGTCCTAGTTTCCATATCTGTCACTCTAGTTTGTCCTAGTTTCTATATCTGTCACTCTAGTTTGTCCTAGTTTCCATATCTGTCACTCTAGTTTGTCCTAGTTTCCATATCTGTCACTCTAGTTTGTCCTAGTTTCTATATCTGTCACTCTAGTTTGTCCTAGTTTCCATATCTGTCACTCTAGTTTGTCCTAGTTTCCATATCTGTCACTCTAGTTTGTCCTAGTTTCCATATCTGTCACTCTAGTTTGTCCTAGTTTCACCATCTGTCACTCTAGTTTGTCCTAGTTTCCATATCTGTCACTCTAGTTTGTCCTAGTTTCCATATCTGTCACTCTAGTTTGTCCTAGTTTCCCCATCTGTCACTCTAGTTTGTCCTAGTTTCCATATCTGTCACTCTAGTTGGTCCTAGTTTCACCATCTGTCACTCTAGTTTGTCCTAGTTTCCATATCTGTCACTCTAGTTGGTCCTAGTTTCACCATCTGTCACTCTAGTTTGTCCTAGTTTCCATATCTGTTACTCTAGTTTATCCTAGTTTCACCATCCGTTTCTCTAGGTTGTCCTAGTTTCCCCATCTGTCTCTCTAGTTTGTCCTAGTTTCACCATCCGTTTCTCTAGGTTGTCCTAGTTTCACCAATTTCAGTTACCATCCTCATATACTCTAGAGTCAGTCCAGATATTCTCGTCATGTAGTCTAGTCAGTCCTTACTCCCTGTCTTACTACCTCAAACTCCTGCCAAGCCTCCAGCAGCATCAACCTCTCCTCCTTGTCCTCGGCTGACTTCAGGGTATTGTTGGCTTCACGGTACACCTTCCGCACTTTGTCATACGCTGTGTCCTCACCCGTTGACTTCTCAAACTGAGCAAAACTAATCCACACCTGAAAACATGACAAGTAATTTCAATATTAGTGGGTGTCTGTAGATATTAAGATCAGCTCATCTTGCCAGAAAAGCTGCAGAGCACAAGATAATCTGCAAGTTACAGTTAGCCGAGATTATCAGAAAGTATGCAATACAATTACTGAATTATACATAAATAAATATGTCAGGATACCAAACATGCGAGCAGATAACCTACAGATCTTGAATTAATGGAAGGGAAGTAACTCCACCTATCTATTGCCTCCTTTAGTTTTATCACTAAACTTCTCAAACAGATTCGTAATAATTCTTATTTTTTCATATTTTCTTCTGATAAGCCTAACCTGCTGAGACCAAGAATGAAGATAACTAGCACACAAATAGATGGATGTTTTAATAGGCACTCACCTTGACGTGGTGCGTCCTCTCCAGTAGTCTCCTGTATAACGTGCGCGAGTGTTGTCATACTCTTCCTGGTCCACCTCAAAGTCAATATACGTCTTCCACAGCACTTCAGGCATGTCTAGTTTAGGCTGACCAATGGCCAGCTCAAGAATGGAGCGAGCCCTGTCCGTGTGTCTCCCAGGATTGTCTCCAACTCTGCATACTAAGGACAAACAAACAGGGAATAGGACCTAAATCTCACTTCATACACATACGAGAATGGTCTGTTGAGTGGATCAGGGAATATTTGTACAATGTGATGATGGCCTCAACTCAGCTTATGTATAAGAGTCATTATGTCACAGTCTCTTGCCAAAATTAGAAAATGAAGGTGTGAACCATAGACTAAGTCACAATGCAAATATAGGGGGTAATATATTCAGTTTAGCCCATAGGAAACTAAAAACACTGACTAAGTTGAAGTGATGCACCACAAACACACAAATACAGCTCTGTAGAGTGCTTACTAAGCATATATGCCAAGGGCTTAATTTTACGTAGGTTTGAACAGCATTTAGATGTGATACACATAAAGGTGAGAATTTATGGATGTCAGGTGGTGGTGACTCCACGTCTTTTATCTAAGGAACAATACATTGCTTACTCCTTCATCATTACCATTCACCTGAAGAATATACTCCAAAACGTCGTGTTCCTCATATAAAAGAAGTTGACATCCATAGATTCGAATCTCTTGGGAGATGGACCAAGAAAAGACTATTGTTCATTTGATGTTTGAATGCAGATACGTAAATAGGCTGTGGCAAGACCTTTTAAATTGGATTGAAGATAAAACAGTCACTACTATAAACCTGGATCCGAAAACAATCCTTTTGGGCTTTCATGAAAAACGTAATGATGTTCTGAACTTGATATTTATCATAACAAAGGAATATATATATTCCAGAAAACTAGCAAATATAAGTCCAACCCTTGAAAGTCTCAAAGCCAAATTAAACCACAGTTACAATCTCCATAAATATAATGCATACTCGGTATGCAAATATAGCAAGTTCATGACTTTCTGGTCATCATGCCACAACTTATTTACATAACCTACTCGATCTCACTTATGCTTGTTACTTAATTGTGCTGTGTATTTGAAATAATGTTGTGTATGAAAGATAAAACTGTACCAATGCGTAAAAAAGAAATAAAGTGAAAAAAAAAGAAAAAAAAAGAAAAGACACTCTACATGCTACATATTGGTTCCTCTACAAATCAATAGTGAAACAATTCAGGTATTTAAATGTTTAATACTGAGTTAAGCAAGTCACTGATAGTGTTGTTCATTACCTTCATCCAAGATGTGCAGTTCTCGGGGCCAAACTCCAGGAACTTCTCATAGAGAATGCGACAGCGGTCAAACTCCCTGAGCTGCAGCTCCAGCTCGATGTAGCCACGGAACAGTTTGTTCTTGGGACACTTGCCTATAGCAGCTCCCTGTACACAACCACCAGAGGTGTAAACACTAGGAGCCACTGACAATAGGCTCCAAGACAAGGGAGTAATGCCGGAACACTGACACATTTTATCACATTACATCAAAGTATTCTGAGTTAAACTTAATACTGAACCACAATGAAATAATCATTGGATCTGCATTTGGTTTCTTCAAAATGTAGGGTAATAGGCATTATCATAATTAGGTCGCATTTATTTTGTTTTGAGTACAGTGAACACATCTGTGGAGCTTAACTGTGGATGGATATGTGGTGTTGTATGTTTATATGCATTTGGTGGATTTCATCATGTAAAGTAAGACAGGAACAAATCCAGGGATTAATACAGGATTCCAAAGGAAGAGCCCTTCATAGACAAAATTTGAAATGTCCTAATAAGTTCCTTTTTTTTGGAGCATTTAGGGATTATTCAACATTAAATTCTATGCAAACATCATCACAGTTTATCAGGAAGTCATCATTGCTGAGCAATTACATTAGTTTTAACTAAAATACTATAACCTTTTAAATTTGATAATTTGTGCACTGTCACAGACATTATCTTCAAAATTGGAGTCGCATATTGACTTCTGAGGTCTAGTTTTGGGTAACAGAATAAGGCAAGGGTTAGTGCTGAAGCAGCCAGGGGTGAAAACGTATAGATTCTCTGTTATGGCCTGAAGAAGTTGGAGTTGAAAATGAGGTCACTTCCTGTCTGAGTTTGCACCTTCTCCACCTACAACTGCCCTGTGTCCAGCTAGTGGTCAACCTACCAGCACTCTCCGGGCAGCCTGCAGGCTCCGCTGGCGGATCTCAAACTGGGCCAGCAGCAGCCACACCTTGGCAAACGTGAAGCTCTTATGCGGGATGACATCTAGACAGGCCTTGTACACATTACGTGCATGCTCTATATCCCCCGTCTCCAGCTCCTCGTACACAGCGTAGTTGATCCACAGGTAGATGTATCTCCGCCAGTGACGCTTTTCCTGCCAATATGCAGCAGATCAGGTGATTTCCATTGCAAGAGGGGCAACCAACAACAGAACAAGTTCGTCAAACTGTGTGGTGGTGGGTCTGTATCATGAGAATGGTTCAAGGATGGGAATGTTCAGTATTTTTTCATAAACATGAAAGTCTTGGGATTTGGGGAGACTATTATTTTGAGTTTATTGGAATGTGTGTCAAAAGTGACTTTGATGTCTAGAAATCTGCAGAACTCTCTGGTTTGATGACACTCTCTGTGACAATCACATCTCATAATCACTGGGGTCATCAAAATTGGCTTTACTACTTGTATTACATACAGGATGACAACTATACAATGTGCGGAACAGCCTAAAATGAAGTAAGTCTTTGATTTTTCCATTATGGTGGTGCCCACAAGCAGAGGTATTGTCCTGACACACCAAATATCATAATCCCGACCTGTGGCGACATTTCACAAGAAACCAGAAAGATATGTTACCTTTGAAGGTGGGAGGTTGCCTATGGCTCGTTCGTACGTCTCCCGCACCTGTTCCACATTCCCATCAGCCTCCAACAGACGCAGGTAGTCAAACCAGGCATCGTAGTTCATGGGATTGGCTTTCACTTCCTGGACAAACAAGTCAAGTGTTACAAGGACTTTAAACAGGAGATCTTTCAGTCGCTTAAAAGTTCATACCCTCAGAGATCATGAGTGAACATTGATTATTCTTTAAAATGTGCCATGAACCTGTTAGATTAATGACAAATTCTAAAGCTTTCTTCTTTATTATTATGCAAAGTAATAATTCCCCCTGTCTTATCATGCCTATTGTTATTTTAGGATCCCAAATGCCATTAGATCTCTTTAGAAATGTTAAGGTAAAGCAATCATACTAAATGCCAAACAGACTGGGTACTCCGATCAGTACATCCATCACAAAGATCCCCATAGTGATGCTATGCTTATACACAACTTCTGTTAGGACATAAATAAATATATTCCTAAACATTCATCCCATCCACCTCACTTAAGTCAAGGTCTCCAAGTACTCCTTGCTTTCCCTAATTTATGAAATACACTAAAGTTACACTTCTAATTTATGAAATACACTAAATTTACACTTCAAGAGAGTCACAAGCATCGCAACATTAGTATACACAATTTGTTTGCAAAATAGATTAAACACAAAGAAACAATGTCTCCTGCAACACATTTTGTAAAGACTTGCACAAAACTAGTAATTAATGGTAAACAAATTAGAATTAGAATTATTTCCAATGTTTTTGCTCTACCTCTTCATACTGGAAGCGCCTTTTGTTGACTATGACATCCTCTATGGCAGCCCGGCTACCATACCTCTTCTCATGCATTGTGTACTGCTTGTAGATCTCTTGACAAGCATCCTTGGGCAGGTGATCCAGTGCAAACTTGTAGATGACACGGGCTCGGTCATGCTGAAACAGACAGTACCTGTCACAGTCTATGTAACATTGGATGACAGGGGGAAATGGCCAAGTAAACCATGGATTGATAGCATGAGCAGAAGTCCATGTCATCAGGTCATGATGACCCACAATCAGACTGGTTAGATGTTATGATCACATACTCCGCATTAGTCAGACCTTACAAGCACATGACACAGGGTACCTATCTTCCCTGGACTCTCAACATGAAGATAATGGTTGAGCCGATCACTCACTTAATGATTGAAATACCTTAGTCAGGGTCTTACGCGATGCACAAATTTGTGCCCAGTACGCACAAATGTAGAGAATGGACACTAAAAACCTAAAATACAGTGTCTGGAGATATACACCAAAATACCAGCAAGGACACATAAAATTTATTAATGGGTGTTCTCTGGACCCCCACTTTTGTAAGTCAAGGTAAAACACTGCCCAGTAGATCTATCAGGAACATTTGAAGAAAGCAAGCTCAGGAATTCTTTGGTAGAACAAAAGCTAGAACCTGTGTTCCTCAGTTAGTTCTTTGAAAAGGTCTGATACCACATGATGTTGGTTTGCATTAATTTCTCAACATTGTAATGCTGTGATAAGTATGTACCTCTTTTTGCCCTTCTTCAAACTTGGCAAATGCTATGAGCAGTTTCTCATCAACATTATGCTCGCCAAAGAACTCCACAGCTCTCTCATAGATGGTCCTGGAGCTATTGATGTAGGAATGCTTCTCCTCGAACTTGGCATACTTGATCCAGTTCTTCACTTCAGGGTGGACTATCACAAGTGACACAGTCAAGGAAAGGATAGCACATGAGTTTAAAATTTCACATTAATCAAGTTATCTAAACAAGTTAATTACACATGAAAGTTGTACAGTGTCATGCTTATGTTTCACCATGTGTGTAAGCATCCATTATTTGTCATGTGTACAGTGTCATGCGTATGTTTCACCATGTGTGTAAGCATCAGTTATTTGTCATGTGTAAGTGTCATGCGTTATTTTCACCATGTGTAAGCATGTTTCACCATGTGTGTAAGCATCCGTTATTTGTCATGTGTACAGTGTCATGTTATGTTTCACCATGTGTGTAAGCATCCGTTATTTGTCATGTGTACAGTGTCATGTTATGTTTCATCATGTGTGTAAGCATCCGTTATTTGTCATGTGTACAGTGTCATGCACCATGTGTTAAGCATCCATGTTTCATCATGTGTGTAAGCATCCGTTATTTGTCATGTGTACAGTGTCATGCCTATGTTTCATCATGTGTGTAAGCATCCGTTATTTGTCATGTGTACAGTGTCATGTTTATGTTTCATCATGTGTGTAAGCATCCGTTATTTGTCATGTGTACAGTGTCATGCCTATGTTTCATCATGTGTGTAAGCATCCGTTATTTGTCATGTGTACAGTGTCATGTTTATGTTTCACCATGTGTGTAAGCATCCATTATTTGTCATGTGTACAGTGTCATGTTTATGTTTCACCATGTGTGTAAGCATCCGTTATTTGTCATGTGTACAGTGTCATGCTTATGTTTCACCATGTGTAAGCATCCATTATTTGTCATGTGTACAGTGTCATGTTTATGTTTCATCATCATGTGTGTAAGCATCCATTATTTGTCATGTGTAAAGTGTCATGTTTATGTTTCACCATGTGTAAGCATCCGTTATTTGTCATGTGTACAGTGTCATGCTTATGTTTCACCATGTGTGTAAGCATCCGTTATTTGTCATGTGTACAGTGTCATGCTTATGTTTCATCATGTGTGTAAGCATCCGTTATTTGTCATGTGTACAGTGTCATGCTTATGTTTCACCATGTGTGTAAGCATCCGTTATTTGTCATGTGTAAAGTGTCATGCTTATGTTTCACCATGTGTGTAAGCATCCATTATTTGTCATGTGTAAAGTGTCATGTTTATGTTTCACCATGTGTGTAAGCATCCGTTATTTGTCATGTGTACAGTGTCATGCTTATGTTTCATCATGTGTGTAAGCATCTTTTATTTGTCATGTGTCGTGTACAGTGTCATGCTTATGTTTCACCATGTGTGTAAGCATCCGTTATTTGTCATGTGTAAAGTGTCATGCTTATGTTATGTTTCATTTGTCATGTGTACATGTGTGTAAGCATCCATTATTTGTCATGTGTACAGTGTCATGCTTATGTTTCATCATGTGTGTAAGCATCCATTATTTGTCATGTGTACAGTGTCATGCTTATGTTTCACCATGTGTGTAAGCATCCATTATTTGTCATGTGTACAGTGTCATGCTTATGTTTCACCATGTGTAAGCATCCGTTATTTGTCAGCATCATGCTTATGTTTCACCATGTGTGTAAGCATCCATTATTTGTCATGTGTACAGTGTCATGCTTATGTTTCACCATGTGTGTAAGCATCCATTATTTGTCATGTGTACAGTGTCATGCTTATGTTTCACCATGTGTGTAAGCATCCGTTATTTGTCATGTGTACAGTGTCATGTTTATGTTTCACCATGTGTGTAAGCATGTGTGTAAGCATCCGTTATTTGTCATGTGTACAGTGTCATGCTTATGTTTCACCATGTGTGTAAGCATCCGTTATTTGTCATGTGTACAGTGTCATGCTTATGTTTCATCATGTGTGTAAGCATCCGTTATTTGTCATGTGTACAGTGTCATGCTTATGTTTCACCATGTGTGTAAGCATCTTTTATTTGTCATGTGTACAGTGTCATGCTTATGTTTCACCATGTGTGTAAGCATCCATTATTTGTCATGTGTACAGTGTCATGCCTATGTTTCATCATGTGTAAGCATCCGCTATGTCATGTGTAAGCATCCGTTATTTGTCATGTGTACAGTGTCATGCGTTATGTTTCACCATGTGTGTAAGCATCTTTTATTTGTCATGTGTACAGTGTCATGCTTATGTTTCATCATGTGTGTAAGCATCCATTATTTGTCATGTGTACAGTGTCATGCTTATGTTTCATCATGTGTGTAAGCATCCGTTATTTGTCATGTTACAGTGTCATCATGTGTACAGTGTCATGCTTATGTTTCACCATGTGTGTAAGCATCCGTTATTTGTCATGTGTACAGTGTCATGCTTATGTTTCATCATGTGTGTAAGCATCTTTTATTTGTCATGTGTACAGTGTCATGTTTATGTTTCACCATGTGTGTAAGCATCCGTTATTTGTCATGTGTACAGCAAGGGGCAGACATCAGTGACATCCCAGAGTGTCAACAGTAGAGAGATTTTTCCTTATTAAGCCATTTACAACATCTGTGATTATTCAGCATTATATATCTCCATTCCATTCAGATGGAATATGACCCGTGAAGATCTGGGGTATAATAGGTCTTCAGCAACCCATTCTTGTCATAAAGGCAACTACTATGCTTGTCGTAAAAGGGGACTAATGGGATCAGGTGGTCAGGTTCGCTGACTTGGTTGACACATGTCATCGGTTCCCAATTACGCAGATTGATGCTCATGCTGTTGATCACTGGATTGTTTGGTCCAGACTCGATTATTTACAGACCACCGACATATAGCTGGAATATTGCTGAGTGCAGTGTTAAACTAAACTCACTCACTCACTCACTCAGATGGAATACATGTAATACACTGGATCCCCTTACGGTATTAAATGACCAAGTTTATGTCGTAACGATGTTTTGTTTGTTGTTTAACAGTGCACTCAGCAGTGTTCCAGCTAATAGTGTCTGGACAAACCAATCAAGTGATCAACAGCATTAGCATCGATCTATGCAATCGTGATCACTGACAAACCTGACCACCCAATCCCGTTAGTTGCCTCTTACAACAAGCATGGGCTGCTGAAGACGAATTCTAACCCGGATTTCCAGGGGTATCATAACAGTCAGTCAGTCAGTCAGTTTGGTTTTACACCGCATTTAGCAACATTCTAGCACATCACGGCAGGGGACACCAGAAATGGGCTTCACACATTGTACCCATGTGGGCATTCGAACCCTGGTCTTCGGCGTGGCAAGTGTATGCATTAACCACTAGGCTACCCCACTGCCCCAGGTATCATAACAATATCCAAGTGGTAATGTTTGCAGGTGAAGGATATATCTCTCGTATATTGCCCTGGCTCGGTCCAGCTCCTTGTAGCGGAGCTCAAAGTTGATGTAGGAGTGCCAGGCTTGTTCCTCTGGCTCCCACTCCGTCCACCTCTCAACACTTGGCGGCATCCTGCAGGAACACAACACATAGCATCCAGAAAAACATTCCACAATGGTAGCGCCACTGATCAACATACAGTGTTTCCGGGGACTTAATTATTTATCAGACACTGTGTCCGGCAACCTAAAATTTTACCGGTCATGAATTAAATTTGCCGGTCATATCCTATTGTCATACTGTAAGTACTCATTTTACAGTTATTTTTAGCCTGGGTATTTCCGAAACATAACAATTTTTGCAACCATGAAAGCAATGCCAAGACTGTCATTTCGCTTACCCATGATTTTTCAATTTTAATACATGATTATTTACCGGACACAGTGTCTGGCTGGCTTTCAATTTACCGGTCCCCAACAAATTTTACCTGCGATTTTCAGGTATATACAGGAGAACGGAAACACTGACATACTATTTATAAATGGCTCATAAAACCACAGAGGACTATAAACCTTTTCCATGAACTGGGGCTTTTCAGAAGATGTCTGTTGGGAATAAATCATAAAATAGGCAGTACAGAGTGTCCTTACAGTGTAATGCAGATGCAAATACAGTTTTGATAAGACAACTCCAAAGTACCATGAGTGTGTGAGCAAGTTTTTAGTTTTATGTCTCCTTTTGCAATATCTCAGCAATATCACAGCGGGGGACACTAGAAATGAGCTTCACTCATTTGGGGATTCGAACCCGGGACTTCAGCTGACGAAAGCAAACGCTTTTTCCTCTAGGATACCCTACCACCCCTCCAAAGTACCATGATATATCTATACATCAAACAATATTAAAACGATTGTATTAAATATGTATTGGAAATAATGATGCTATAAAACCAAAATGTTCAAAACTTGAATCAAATTGTTGACAACAACTTACACTTTCCTGAATGAATATACTACTCAAAAGAAGTTAAAGTAACCTAAAGTAACAGGGAAGAATCAGCTGTAAGCCATGTTGTGTAGTATGTCTGCATACCTGCAATGTTGGCCAGCATCTCCTCCATGTAGGTGTACTTGTACCAGAACTGGTTGGCTCGGGGCAGGATTGTAACTGCACGATCCCACACGTTCCTGGCATGGTTAATCTGCCGGTTCCTGTGGCATTAGCACATTAACTGACTGTAATTTATTGTGACATATTCTCAACAAGCCAAGACAACAACATGCAAACATGCATTCAACAAGAGTCATCAGAAGATGACATATCACCCTGGCCCCCACATTTAATGAAAGAACAAATCATATGACAGTTACTTAAAGTCCAGCTTGATTTATTTTAGAGTAAGTCCAAATTGTTTCCATGGAAACTGGGAAAAAATAAAAATGCCAAAAATCAGCAATTAGCAAAAGGCATCACTTTAGGATCTGCCTCACATATCTGCCAAGTTTTGCTGAAAGATATTAAGAACTTTTCGAGTTGTGCTCTGGAAAACGAATCCCACCCCTCCCTTTTGAACACCAAAAATGGGCTTCACACATTGTACTCATGATTCAGCAAAACAAGCTGCCCCACTGCCCCTACCTTAATGAATAAAAGATTCAGCGCTTAACAATGCCTAGAACAGTATTTGAGTGAGTGAGTGAGTTAAGTTTTACACCGCACTTAGCAATATTCCAGCTATATGGCGGGGGTCTGTAAATAATCGAGTCTGGACCAGACAATCCAGTGATCAACAGCATGAGCATCGATCTGCATAATTGGGAACTGATGACATGTGTCAACCAATTTAGCAAGCCTGACCACCTGATCCTGTTAGTCGCCTCTTCTGACAAGCATGGGTTACTGAAGGTCAATTCTAACCCGCATCTTCACGGGTCCACTGGTTCAGGAAACAACAACACTAGAGAAACTAATGCTTAATATAACACACACTGGTTCTCTGTAATTCTTCTTAAAAGATACTATAAAATGTGACAGCGACATCGTGAAATATAGAAATAATAGAAAGGGAGGACGTTTCCTAGCTGTGCTGCTTATACACACCTCATTTCCATCTCCGCATACTTCAGCCAGACCGTGATGTTTCTGTGATCAACATCCAGAGCTCTCTCCCAGATAGATCTTGCTCTGAAAACACACAAACAGTTGACTGTATTCTTGAGTACTGTTCAGACTAAAATGCTCAGCTAGTAATAGTCTCATAATATCAAAATCAACATACGATCATGTTGAAAATGTACCTAGCCAGGTAACAGAGTCCCTCACCTAACAAAACACAGTAACCTGCACATGATCTGAAAAATCAGTTCCTAACCAAAACAAAATTATTCAATTTTAATGTGCTGAAATTTTTTTTAAAACACATTCAATTTATTTTGGAAGTGCCATGATTACCTAACTAAAGTAAAACCTTCATTTCTTACCTTTGAAGTTCCTTCTGACTTTCCTCCCACTGAGCATACTTAATCCAGTTGGTCATCACACTTCGGTTTTTACGTATGTTGTCCTCAGAAGCCTATATAACAAAGAGATGGCAGGTCTTAGAAGAGAAGAATAATTGCATATCTAAACACATTTATCGTGGGCTGAGATTGAAATGGTGATAACAGTAAACTGAATGAAGAGTCTTTGCCTATCCAATTTTCTGACACATTAATCATCTACTTTCCTGGCGTTATTCTGAACACGTAATAGTTTCCATATAGGTAACAATCATGGTGAGTTAAGTTAAACCAAACAGAAGTGGTGGACTGGGGACCACATATGTCATGAGTTATTGAGTCGGATACTCTACAGCAAGGGAGGTAATATCTTGTTGTACAAACTGTAAAATGGTAAAGCGAAACATTTAATTTGTTAACAGAACACTAAGCAATATTCAACATACATGACAGCAGTTTGTAAATAATTAATTACATTTGGACTTACAATACAATGACTAACATCATAAAAATCAATCTACACATGTTGGACATGATGACAAGTCAGCAAGTCTGACCACCCATTCCTGTCACCTGTGTCCAAATGCAACAGTGTTGGAACTACGATACTAATATTCAACATTACCTTTCTTTTCCTCATTCTATAATCGGCAAGTTCTTCAGGATCAGATATCTTCTGTTTGGGAGGCTGGAAAAGATAATCACACATGGAGTGTAAGTGTAAGGTTCTTGTGGCTGTGAATGACAGCTGGATCATGTTGACACAACAAACGTGTTCTATGGGCATGGTGAGACAATCTGATACTAAGGTTACAATATGATCCTTGATATAAGCATCACAATTGTACAGATACAGAGCATCATGATGTACCAATCTGTCCTATATCTCAAAGTGAAACTTTTGATCAGTGAAGCTGACAGAAGTACCAACATAATTATTTTATCATCTTCATGATACTCAAAATAGATCAGACCAAACTGTAAAGCAAACATATGACAAACACCTAACTGTAAACTACTTTCTCAAATAGTATAGCTAAAACTTTGTCATGTTTACATTCAAGCTGACATAAGGCTTTAAGAAACCATCAGGACCATTAAAAACTGAAAAGAACAGTATTACAAGCAAGGGCATTATTAGATTACTACATTCTAGCATTAAAATGACTATGTGTAGCCAACTACTGCCATGGGTAGGCCTTTAAGCTGTGTTTACTTGGTGGAGACTCAACTTACCGGCGGCACCAGCTCCAGCTCCCTCTCCTTTGCCTCTCTCAGCAACTGCTCCGCTGTGATCTGTACTGGAGCAGGCATTTTGTTCTTCACCTGAATTAATAAAAAATCAAAGTTGATGAACAAACTGTATTTGGGGGACACATCTTCTTTTACCAAATTTTATTCAGTTTCAGTGATTGACAATCTTCTTGATTCAGAAATATTGTACAAATGAAAACCCACATTGAACACAAATATCTCACCAGTGAGACTCCCTTTGGGCTGGAGTGAGTGAGTGAGGTTTAATAATGCTAGCTTGAAACATATTTCAGTTAAATTACAATGTGTCAGTTTGATGTGGGAGAGAACCCAGAAGTTATGCAGGTTTTATCATGTTTATGAATACAATTTTGGTGAAACCATGAGCACAGGTATTATAAAGCTTAACCAACAAACACTGGCCTGAAACAGGACTCAAACCCATGATCATAAGTTTCTGGCCTGTTCAAGGCATGCACCCCTGCCATGCTTTTGGCTTTCAATGCCATAACCAGGATAACCATCAGAAACAACAGGATTTCTTAAAATCCACAACAATGTCATCATTATTAAAGTGCAAAAATTTGTTTGTTTTTTTCCCCAGAAGTTGTTGTTTTCATTCAGTTTTCAGACAAAGTCATCATGTTTATATACACAGGTTTGAATGCATTATTCACCTTAGAATTCAGAAAACCCTTGACACTGATTGGCTAATGGCTAGTGTTGGGAATTGGTTGAAATCTCACAATTGATGATTGCTTCATTACCAACGAACAATCATCGAAAAAAATTGGTTAGCGTCACTTTTCAGATTTTCCCATCCAGGCTGTTATTGCAGATATGTATAACATGATGCAACTTGCTACTTTAAAGTGAAGACTAATATATCATGAACATAAACTTCCTGGAGTCTTCAAGAAATATTCAGTCATGGCTTTTCAGTTAGTGAAGTGAGTTTTCTAAGAATTAAACACGTTTTCAGGCCCTGACAACTTCAACGATATGTTCCATTGTCAAATATTTCAAAGACTAAAACAGTAGTTCCAAAATTGTTTATGTTCGATTATGAGAAAATGTGATCGATTGCTTGATCGTTTGGTCACTGCGACCAATCTTCGATTATTTCAATTAATCGGAACACCACTACTGATGACAATACAATTTACAAAAAGTCATCTTACGCTACCTTCCAGAGAGATGTCACTTCACCTCATAGACAGAGTAAGAGAGGTTTCAAAACAGCAAGATTAGAGTTAAAGACTAGATTTTAATGAAATTAGATCCATGATCAGATGATCAGGCCCCAGAAAAAAATGCCAGTCATTTCTGTATTTTCACTCACATATGCATCATCATTGGGCACTGACATGCCCGTTTTCCTTTGGTGGTCAAAATATGCAACAATAAACTGGTATTTAAATATTACTGTCTGAGGCAGTTACGTCCAGTCTGTTTGGAACAGTGTTTGTTTACTTTTTATTTTCACCAATAATGATATGCAAGCAACTCAAAGGTTTGCTGGAGTAATCAGCTAGTAATGGTGACTTGTGTATATATATTTTAAATGCATAATTAAGCACATGTGCAGCATATGTGGAGCTCTGATGGTGATGAACATATCAGAGACCATATCTCCGGCTATAAGCTAACAACATATTATAACAATGATAATGACTATGGCAGGGATTTACAGGACGCAAATTCCTGCGTCCCATATTTATAAAACTTGACAATGGACGCAACAAAATTATTAGTGCATCCTCAGGGACGCAGAAAAAGTCCACATACATGTACTTTTTGTGAAAATTCCAATCAAGTAACAATAAGTTATCAAAGAGTTTGCTACTAGCTGGGTTATGGTATCATTTGCAACAAATAATGTGATGATCATAACAGTGTTTGCGAATAGTGTCTGACCCTCTGACAAATCCGGCAGATTCGCCAACGGTCCGATAGAAGTCTACAACCCACCGGCCCCAGTATCCAACCGTATATTTCACAATGACTTTGACTGAAGTTGTTATATGTGACACTTGTTTGCTGTTTATTTTATCTTAATTTTTCTTATGTTTGTTAAATAATTTCAATGCCAATTATAAGAAATGTTAAATCTGAAATGTATGTTTAATTTTATTCCATGGGTCCTGTGAATTTTCAATGGGTCAGACAGACATCTTAAACTTACAGGACCCAATGTCCTGTTACTTTGAAACATAATTCGTGAACACTGCAATAACACTATTAATAATAATGTGTAAGTGTCTGGACCACCATTTTGTTGTCCAGGACTCCTGAAAATTGAGAGCATGAGTCCTAGGGACCATCAAAAAACAGGACTCAAGGTAAAACCCTGACCCTGGTGTTACTGTTAGGGTTAACAGCTTTCAAACCAATTCATCAGAATGGAGATTTATGTGGATACTATTAATGAGCATGAAATCACCACTGTCATTAATCTAATCTGTAATGGGTAAGAACAACTTATTTAATTTAGCCCCTGCTTTATTCCCAGTCATGTGCTCAATATTCTTCATCGAAGTCTGCACATTTCAAAAATATCACTTCATAACATTTCTCGTTGTGCTAATGACTTATTTTTCTTTTGGTAATTACCTTGGCAACTTTTGGCATCTTCATCTTTCCGTCACTTGTTGTCTCCATGTTTCTTTTTCTGCTGAAAGTGTATGTAAGCAGAAAAAGAACTCTCAAAATGAGTAAAGATGGATTTTCTGAATCGAGTTCCTTTCAAAACACGCTTCCGGAAGCGTAGTACATACGACGGGGGAAATAGCAGTCGCGCGCTTTTCTTTAAACATTTTATTTTTGTGGCAGGACAACCACCTCTAAATATATAGGAACCCTATAGGAAGATAGAGACTCCGGATTCCACGATCCTGATATCATAAATATCATATTAACATATTAAAATATTTCAAACTGTGAAATATATATTGAAAATACAATTTGTGCGTTACTACCGGAAGTTAAAGCTCCATGGTTACCGTTTCAACATGGCCGCCTAACTTTGGATTATTTCGGCCAGCTTCGTAACAGCAGACAGTGTATTAGTGTCTACCAGCAACGTCTTGGCAAGGTGGGATGCTGTTTTGCATTATTTTTGATAGATGAATTAGAATAATTACACAGATTCGACTGCTAAAACATTGTGAACAAATATACAGTCAAGTTCGGGACAACACTTTTTGATTATTGTGGAGAATGCAAAAGTGGACTATTTTATTATACTCGTGGGTAAATCATTATCAACATTTCTTTCTTTGGTTTTTCTTTTTAATGTTTGGAATGTATGGTAGCATATGCAGTCACACTTATTAAGATCCGTAAATTCATCATTTATTTTCCAATAAATCATGCAAAAACAAACAGTATTCTCTTCTTGAAATATGATAAATGGCATGATTTCAGAGGGATATTTACATTTTATATTGTAATATGTTAGTTTCTCAACAAGATATAGTCAACAGATTTAGAAAAAGTATGTTGGAATCATTTATAGATAAATATGTGTGAATACAAAATGTCTGGTAAGTACTACTTTTGGTGTTTACAAACAAATATGGCATCTTCCTTGTCTTTTGTCTGTACAGGATAATTGTTATATATATTACAAATGTAATGTTGGCAACATCAGAGATATAAAATAAGCAATTTAAATATGACTAAGGAACAATGTCCCCAAACAGTTGTGTGTCTTGAACTATTTTCTTTTATGAAAATGTGATGTGATAGATCACAGTCTAGCATCTTTGGATATGTGTAGTTATGGGCCACACAAAAGTTACACTATTTTGAGCTAGCAACACTGGAAATACCATGTCAACATACCCAACATATCCTTTCTGAAGTAAACAATTTAATACTTTTATTGCTCAATCTGGTTGTAAAAGTTTTCATTGCATATCTGGACATATGTTTGTAATCTATTTTATTAATTTTATTCATATCCTCTTAATTATTATCTGTGTAATTGTGTGTGAATTGATTGGAAGATTTCATCAAGCCACAATTATATACAAGAACCAACACCACCACTGATGCCTTGAAATGAACCTTAGTTGATAGTGAATTGATGTCATAATGCCATCTCAGACCATGCTAACAGAGATTCATCAACTGTTCAACATGTAAATCAAATAACCAAGTTAAATGTTTGGCATTCGGGTATTTGTTACACTTAAATGTCATAAGATCCTGTATATATAACAAATCTCTCATTTCAGTTACTGTTGTTAAACATCAGTATAGAGAAGGATAAACATTAGGTACTTCATATATGTTTCATGAATCCAGACATAATGTTAATCTGGAGAAATTCATTGTGAACGGTACTGTCCAGATTATTATATTTCTTTGTGCAATATGATCTAGAGGAGTAAATTGTATTAACTATTTAATAATTTCCTTGCTTACAGGTTAGAGTATTGTGATCAACATGTCCAAAACTACAAGCCCCGATGGATCTCTTGAGGTCATCAATGCCCGGCGCACAGAGTCAATTGATGCCCCACATATCGTTGCCCTGGCAACTAAGTCTACAGAGGCACTGTTTGGACGAGTCAACATTGTGAATATTATGTATGTACACTTAAAACTTGTACAAATAATTGATAATGATTTTAATCTGGCAATATGGTGATGAAAGTTCCAAGTTGAATGTTGCTCTTCGAAATAACATAATTATTTTTCTTATCCTGACTCATGATCTTTTGCTTATCTCCCTTTCCCTTGCGAATGGTAGTGGAACACTTGAATCCCTTGAAGTTCCCGAAGCGGACGTGAAAATACACTCACCCACGAGTTACCTCCCTTTTGCCCTTTCCCGCGCAAACAGTCATGTGACGAGCCTTACTTGTCACTCTCTCCCTTTTCGCCCAAGTGGATGGAGTCCCGTATACGGCATCATATCCTTTTTGATTTAGGTCCTATTCTTCAAAATTACGCTGTGTATGGATTTGGCTATAGCTATATTGTGTTATATGTAAAAATTTGAAAAAATTTCTTTGTATTTGTGTCATTATTTCATCGTGATGTAACTTGTTTACATTTCCTGAAATCTTGCAGTGTTTGCAGGCACAGGTTATCCGTGGCTGATCCTCACCCCCAATGCCCTTCGTGCATCAAACCATGTTCTTCCAGCTTGCGTTGTACTTATTGTGTTGATTTGTCAAATCTACAATTTAATCAATATTTGTCTTATATCTATAGACATGCCATGGATTGGGTGAGGAAGTCATCTCAAGTCACGGCTGATAAAACAGGAGATCAGCCTGCAAACTGTATGTTGCTTGCTACTGCTGAAATTCATCATACTGGTGCTATGCTGAGTACGTTGCAGGGGCAGTCTGCTGGTATTGGGGCTAAGAAGAGATTAGCTACAACGCAGTTGACTCCGACTCAAGCTAGAAAAAAGACGTCTTCTTTTACGTCGCAGAAGAAAGCGTCTGTTACCAGATCGGAGGGTAAATCTACGCGGCCTAGTAAGTCAACGCATCAGAAATCCTTCAACGAAGAGATATTACCTCAACATGAAGTAGACGTTTTTAGGGGCGGTGGGGTAGCCTAGTGGTTAAAGCACTCGATCGTCACGCCGAAGGCCTGGGTTCGATTCCCCACGTGGGTACAACTTGTGAAGCCCATTTCTGGTGTCCTTCGCCGTGATATTGCTGGAATATTGCTAAAGACGACATAAAACCATACTCATCCAGCCAGTAGACGTTTTTGATGATCCCCCGTTACTTCTACAAGAAGGACCTACGAGATCGGCGACTCAATCGACTTCCACGACTACTAGATCGTCTCCTGCAACGGTCACAGCAGGCCAGCTGTTTGACGAACTACCACCTACTTCCCAACTGAGTGAAGTTGAGGCACTCAACTCATCAGCGTTCGCGAACGCTTCTTCTACACTGCAGCAGCTTCAATCAACACAGAACTTTGATCCGGGCGAATTTATGAGACAATTCACCAACCAGATGATGACTATGATGGAACGTAGGTTCGAGGAAGAAGTGAAGTATCGGCGAAGCCTCTCATCTTCTGACAGCGTGCGCAAACCTACGGACCTGCGCGAACCTACTCCTCATAGAACTACATCTCAAGACTATGTTGGCGAACGTACACCTTTGCGAAGGTCTCCACAGTCTGACGACTCTGTCATCTTGGAGGAGGATAGAAGACATGACATGCCTACTCATCGTTCTACATCTGCTAACCCTTAACGTTCCAGAACATCGAAGGATCCATCTCCTACACCTAGCCGCTCTAGATTGAGATCTCATATCTCTCACAGACGTTCGCGAAGTCACGAGACAGAGGTTCGCGAAGAGAAGGCTCACATCACAGAGGTTTGCGAAGGGATACATCTAGAGACAGCCGTTTCGCGAAGAGAAGGCTCACATCATAGAGGTTTGCGAAGAGATGAATCTACAGATAGAGGTTCGCAAAGAGATTACTCTCAAGATATATGTTCGCGAAGGGAGGAATCTTCTGACAGAGGCTCGCAAAAGGATGATGGAGGTTCGAGAAGGGATACAGGTTCGCACATGGATGATCCGCGGAGGCCTAGCTCTAATAATCAGGAGATACTGGATGAGCAAGCAGACTTCATCTTCCCAGACTCAGAGGTTACAGCTTTGATTGCCAATGGGTTGAACTTGGAGTCTCCTTCTAAGGATAAAGATGAAGTCTACACTTATATGATGTGTAACAATGACTTTGACTCCGTCACTATCCCTCAATTGAACCTATATCCAGGGTACCCTCCAACCTATGCACAGCTTTCACGAAAGCAACCAAGATCCAGAATCAGCATCTGCCATCATTTAATGTGAAGAGATTCCCCTTACATCATATGGATGCATTTAATATGATTTATAAAGGCGCCTGAATGGGATGATAACATGAAGTTAGTCAACGACTCTCGGAACAAGACTTACAAAGTGGAAGATAAAAAGTTATCTCAACTTGCTACTGCTACAAGGAGATCCTTCTTCGGGTTGGCCAGGTCCAGAGCTATCAATGAAGCATTGATCAATAAATTCCAGAACTCAAGTTCGGAAGAGGACAGAATGATATACTCTGCGCTGATAACTCAGAAGAAGGATCAATACTTTTTATCAGACCATCTGGCATCTATATCTGCAGGTCTCACTTTGCTACGCAGACAAGGTCTACTGGCATCCTGTTCATGGAGTGACAGATTCACCCAACTGCTACTTAGAGCTCCATGGGAGGCGCCTACTATCTTTGGAGGCCAAATAGACGATGCAGCTAAGGAAGCTATGCACGACTCAAGAGAAGTCATGATGATAAATTCCATAGATACTCTGGCCAACATCATCCGTCATACTTCGCAAAAGTATAACAGCAAGTCCAAATATTCCGGCATACAGAAGGCAAAAGAGAAGAAGTACTCCAGCTTCAGAGGCGGCAAAGGGTCCTTTCATCACCCATCCGGAAATTACAGAGGAAACTCAGGGAGAGGCCGCACTCCCAGAGGATCCAAAGGAACTAGACGTTGATATTGGGTTTCGGAATGACTGGGGTCTTCCACCCCAAGCCGTTCCTGTAAAACCATCTACAGTGGGTGGACATCTACAAAGGTACTGGAAACATTGGGGAATACTAGAGGACGACTACATCTCCCAAGTACTGCGAGAAGGATACAGAGTAAAACTCAAGGCAACACCCCCGCTAACCCTTCGATTATGCAGAGGAGCAGGCAGACCGACTATAAGAAGCCATCAACTCACTACTTATGAAGGAGGCAGTAGAGATAATAGATCAGCATCATCTCACTCCAGGCTTCTACTCCCCAATTTTTCTAGTACCCAAGAAGAACTCCAAGGAGAAGTTCAGACTGATTTACAATATGCACAAATTCAACAAAGACTATCTACTGAAACCAGACAGGCTCAGAATGACCCACCTACCTCAACTCAGACTACTCGTCCGTCCAGTAGATTACATGGCCAGCATAGACCTGCAGGATGCGTATCTACACATCCCCATACATCCGGAATCAAGAAAGTATCTGCGATTCCTATTCAGAGGGCAGCACTTCCAATGGAATGTCCTACCATTTGGAACATCTTCGGCCCCGTGGCTATTCACACGAGTAACCAAGCCTATAGTCGCATATCTACATCATTTAGGTCTACGCAATGCCTTCATTCAGATTCACCAAAGTGCCAGTCAACTCAGACTGCAGCTGAACTTCATGATCAAGTTGCTCACTCAACTAGGATGGCTGGTGAACCTTATAAAGTCAGAGTTGGAACCAAAACAAGATCTGCAATTTCTGGGGATAAGGTTTATCACAACACAGAATCGTATTGTCGTCCCAGAAGATCGTTGGGTCAAGATACAAGCCATGATTCCACAAGCAGTCATTTCTCTGTTAACACTACGATCATGGCAAGGTCTACTCGGTCTACTAACCTTGGCGCAGGACTTGATTCGCACAGGAAGGTTACAACTAAGACCACTGCAACGGTTCCTGACAAAACATCTGGACAGCGTCGACCCTATCTTGCTGCCAGACAACCTCAAGAGGTATCTTCTTTGGTGGACTCACAGGTTGAACGTTTGCGGAGGGACCTATTTACAAGAGCCAGCCTTCGACACACATCTCTACATAGACTCTTTGATAAAAGGTGGGGGTGCGCATCTCAACAACCAAGTTGCATCAGGAAGGTGGTCCAAAATAGAGCAGCATCTTCACATCAATCTGCTGGAGATGAAAGCTGTGATCAACGCCTTACTACTATGGTCGAGCTCGCTGAACAACAAAATGCTGATGGTCCACACGGACAACTCTACAGTGGCATTCTCCATAAATCGGCAAGGATCTACAAGATCTTTAAGTCTTCTACAGCTCACATTCCAGTTGTTCCACATAACGGAGGAAGCAAACATCTGGATAAAGGCGTGTCACATCCCCGGAGCCAAGAACGTACTTGCAGACGCTCTCTCCCGACCACTGCACCCGTCTGCTACGGAATGGATGCTCCATCCAGAAGCGTTCCGGCTCATCATAAGGGAAATAGGATCCCCTTGCATAAACCAGTTTGCCATGAGGTTCAACAAACAACTACAGACGTTTGTCTCACCAGTTCCAGATCCTCAAGCCTGGGCAACGGATGCACTGAGCATATCCTGCACACCAAGCAAGTCCACGGGAACCCAACACTGTTCCAGCTACACGTGTGGACCGTATCAAAACATGTTTGAAGAAAAGAGGATACTCCGCCAGGGCAGCCAAGGCAATAACGCTAGCGTTACACAGATCTACTCGTAACCTGTATGATGACAAGTGGCTGAAGTTTGAGACTTATGCAAGGTGGAAAGGCTTTATTGCTATGAAAGCTACTCATCCTCAAGTGGCGGAATACCTGTGTCATCTTAGACAGACTAGACATCTGAAAGGTTCGACATTATCTACATACCTTGCTGCCATAAGTACAATGATTATCATGAAAACAGGCATCAAGTTGACGAAAGTACCAGAATTACTTGCTCTGCTGAGATCTTTTAAACTTGAGGACCAGCAAAAGAAGTTCAGAGCTCTGGCCTGGGATCTGAATGTAATTCTACGTCATCTTACAAGTGATGCCTATGAACCTCTAGATCAGACTACCTTCGAGCTGCTGACACAGAAGACTCTGTTCGTGCTTGCGATGGCCACGGCAGCTCGGATATCAGAGATACATGTGCTGGACTTTGGTCGAACCAGATTCGACACGGGGCAACATGCTGCAGTTCATCTAGGACTTAGATGGGACTTCATTGCCGAGAACCAACTACCTGGTCAGCCAGATAGACAGTTCCACAGTTCCACATACTCGTTCATCGTGATGTAATGATACCACTTGTAACCCTAATCTTTCACCAGCTGTTTGCTGGCTTCCACGAGAGGCATGTTGTGATCGATGGGAATGCCCAAACCGTGGTTCGGACCCGGCAAACGCCAATCGACCATGTTTGGATCTAGTTTGAATTAAATAAATGCTCGCCCGACGTTACGGATTGCATACGCCACGCCTATAAAATCGAAGCGATGAACCATCAGGGCTCCGTGAGATACAGACCAACTTAGTTCATCGCGACGAAAGTGTCGTACGCCACGCCGATAAAAAGTATGCCGCGATCACGGAAGGACATGTTTTGGAAAAAGTAGCAGATACGCACCACTGCAATGGTGTACGGTCTTAGAATCATTTAGTTGTATTTATCCGAAAAAGTATTGTTTTATTGTTCATTGACCTGTTTACTCAAGACTAGCAATGTTGTGGTGCATACATGAAACGAAACATACGATTACTGATACTCCATTAAATTCCATTCAGTACTCTTAAAGTTTTCCAGTACTCTTATATTGAAAAAATAAGGAATACATACTCCTGATGTTGAAAAATTATCTGGAGCCCTGACCATCATCCCAACGTAATGCTAGCCGATCTCGGGCACACGCAGGGATTCGATCTGCCTGGCGTGTGGCTCATATTGAGGTTCGACGTACCCGATTACCAACAGGATTTTTACGATTCAAATTTGACTATCAAATCACACACCACGCTCGTAATAGATGTCTATCTCGCAGACACTCGTGGGTTAGAACGAACACTTTTGACTGGGTTGACAATATGCTGGTTCTACAGACACAATCAACAACGGTGTCGTATCGTCATAAGACCGGGATCGACACCCTTAGTAAGCCTCCATAGAGTTTGTGTTATAGAAAAAATTTGATTCATATCTCGAATATTTACGTGTACGATAATCTAAACCTTATCAGCCTTAAATACATCGATCGGATATTAACGGAAAACCAATTAAATATTATGTTATAAAAAGGTATATATATATATATACACACAGGATGGGACTGTACCTAGTCGTTGATGAAGTAGCAAAAACATTGGAAACCGTAGGCAGATATGCGAGATCAAACAACAACTAGAAGAACGTGAACGCGATACATGGTCGGCATTACAGAAAAAATATCACAGGGCTGTCGATTCCATGGACGGTGTTGACACCGCTCTGATTTCAGCCAGCATGGGATTAGGCACGGCAGGTGTCGGGTTGTTATCCACCATCGTGGCCGCACCCATGGTGCTAGGCATCTAAATAACAGCCGGAGAGGCAGGGTTGATGGGACTGACACTTAAGTTCATATCTCGCAGACTGCAACATAAAGCATTGAAACACGACGAAATTAGAATTCTAGCCGAAGCAAAGTTAAACACGATAGATGATAATGTTTCCACCGCGCTCACCGACTCTAAAATCTCCGAGGAAGAGTTTCGTTTGGTGCTATCAGAAATCACAAAATATCACAGAAAGTCTCATGAAAACGCTGTCATCAGTGAAGACGAGAAAAAAAGTTCATAGAACAATGGAAGGAACAGGCCCGACAAGCCTTCATTACGAAAACCAAGCAAATCATAGAAGGAGATTCACAATAAATTGTTCCGCGGAAATCAACAAAACGTAGCCAGCCGGCCAGCCAGCTCAGCAAGCTGTAGGTGAATAGCCGAGCCGAGAGACAGACACACACACACATTCCGACTCGCCCTCAGTGCTGCACTCAGTGCTACCGACATGGCAGCGACAGGCGACCCTTCTGGGACTGCCAGCTGCGGTATGATTTAGCTTCAGGCAGCTCTCGCCTCGCTACTTTATAACAAGTACGTAATTACGTTGGATAGTTAGCCTTTCGGCGGACAGACCCCATGCTCACTAAAAAGTGATTATTTCCAAAACTATTTGACAGATTTTCGTGAAATTGTGCATGCATCTCAGCAGTTGTATACACTATAACAGAACGGGATTAGGACACTCTCGAAGACTTCATTAGGTTTTTTAAGACTTAATTACGACAATACCGTGAACATTTAGCCTTTTGCCAGACAGACACCATGCTCACTTAAAAGTAAATATTTCCCAAACCGTGATACTGATTTTCGTGAAATTTGGCATGTACCTCCACCAGTAGTATATACAATAGCGGAACGGGATTAGGGACCTACCAAAGCCTTAATTTGGAAAATGAAGGACTTGGGAAGGACCTGGTCCTGTTTCGCTATTGTATATACTACTAGGTTGTTCATACAACATACAGTATCTATTGCATCCATCTTTCCAGTGAAAAGGCTATCCTTGCTGTGACACTAAGCAATGCTGCAGATGAGATCCTTGGACATGCAGCTTTCTTTGACTTTCCCAATCTCCCAGATGTGGATGAGGCAGCATGGGAAGCCTGGATGAGCAAGTTCTACGACACCAGCAAATGCAATGCACTCAACACACTGTTTATGCACTACTTTGTTTCCAAGAATGAGTATGCTCATGGATGTGCTGAGGAGATCATCCGTACAGCATTCAACGCTGTTCCAGACCTACACTTCCTGTTCCTGGTTGTTCCTCATGGTGTTTACCCAGGTTGGTATTCTGGGCAAAAGAAAATGATACATTCTACTCACATCCACAACTTTTGTATCAGCAGTGTTGCTGTGTAAACTGTTGTTTGTGTTGATTAGGTTGTGGGGTCCTTAAAGTAATTTAGGATAAGATGTGTCATACTGCTACAATCAGCTTGTGACAAAACAGCCACAGCAATTTGAGAGAGGGGAAATTGTTTTGACTTAAGAATAAGTATTGTGAAAACCTGTGAAGATCGCGTTTAGAAGTGATACCCATGCTTGTCATAAAACTTACTGACTTTGTCCATGCTTGTTATCAAATCCAAACTACCGGATTGTCTTGTCCATACCCAATAATTGACATATTGCTGTATAGCTGGAATATTAATGCATGCAGCATTATACAACAATGTCATGAAATGGTCTGCCTGACGGTCAATTCGGAAATGTATACTTTCCTTTATTTTAGAACATTAGAATTCTTATGAACTGCTCCATATTGGGTACTAAAGCAGCAGATTTTAAAGCTAAAGGAATTGGAGGGGTTTGGGCCTTTTTCTCCAGTAATTATTTAATTCAGGACTTTCAACATTGGGGTCCCTGACTTCATCATTTGCTTTTAATTGCGAGTAGTGGTACAATTTGTATCTTTTTTAATAACAGATAATATATTTGACAACTGAAACACTGTTGACATTATGATTGTAGATGCAGCTGTTGCTGATGTGTTCAAACCTCTGGACAAAAAGGAGGATGTGATGGCTGGCCCCAACAACTGTGTCATGTTTGTGTGTCATCGTCACAACCATGTCCCAGTGTTGCACATCCGACATGCCAGGTCAGACTTTACAGCACTTGTTTCAAACTGGCGACTTATATTCCAGAATATTCCATTTGATCAACTCAAAACAGGAAAATGAAAAACAATCGAATAGATGGCTGAGATTGTATGGCAGTACTTCCCATGGGCTTTTAAAAGTTTCTTCTGTGTCAAATCTGTTATCTCATTGAATCAAGACATGTGCAATGATTTCAAAGGAATCTGTGTCACAGACTGTTTGTCTGTATAAATCTTAACTGTTGATTGGAGTACCTTGTCCTGACCTTTATGAGCATTTGAATGCACATTCCACCTGTGACTTTCCTGATCTGGTTAGTGCCACTCTAATTGGATAATCTCAGTGATGTCCTCAGAAAGTTTGTTAGCAGTGGCAAGAACTAAGATGTGGTTGTAGTGAGGATGAAGTGAGGTGAGTCAAGGTGTCATAAGTGTCCTGCTGTTATTCCAGAGTTGAGGATCATGATGACTTGACACCTATCTTCAACCGGCACAGCGACATGCTGAAACTGACATATGGAGATTACTTCTTGGCAGAACTCATCGAAGCTCAGAATGACAACATGCAGTGCCTGGTTGCAGAGGTATGAATGGAACTGCTCGGATAGTCTTATCTAGCATTTATGTTGGGAATGAAGAAATAGAAGATGTTTGTATACTCAATTGCCCACTAAAGTATCCATTGAATTGCCGTTCTATTATGATAACGACTCATTATCCACCATGGCTTGGTTTTTTAGCTAACTGTCCATGCACATTCCTATGCAAGTGCAATTATCTTACAAGCATTAACATGAAACTCCATTTCACAGGCTAAATCTTACGAGACAAACCAGATATAACACATCCATTGAAGCTTTCATAAAATATTCTGCACATTGCACAGCCTGATCGTCTTATCCAGTGTATCTTTGCTATGTGTTGATGAGCTAACCAGTAGATGCCTGTAAGTGACAATTTGATCTTGCATGCACTAGGTGGAAGGAACTGCGCAAGGCTTTATGAGTATCAGCGATGATGTCAACTACGACTTACTGAACAACTGTTTTGAACTCGGACCCTTCCATGGCCTCCGACACCCTCACCCTGAAGATGAGGAGGAGGTACCTAAAGTACCCACCCCTACACCACCCCCTGAGAGAGGTAAGTCCTGGGCACCTTCAACTTAGGGCATCGTTTGTAGGAACTAAATGCATTTAAGAGGTGTATGTATGAGCGGTCAGACTTTAAAACTGACAACACACAAATAAAGTTGAAAAAACTTTCATGGCATTCAAGTGTTACTTGAGTTAAAAGTGTTCATAATATGATCTTATTGTCTGTCTAAGATGAGGCAGGTGGGAGTGGTCGTTCATCACAAATCTCATGGTCGTCGAGTTTATCCCATGAGGACTATGGAGATGTAAGACAGTATGATGAGGAGCTGAAAGATGAGGGTGGAACAGCGGATGAGGGTACCACAGAGAAAAGTGGAACTGCGAAAACAGAAACTGAACCAAAGACTGTTGGAAGTCGCCAGTCAAGTGCCAAGAGTTCAAAAGGTATTGGGATCGTAAAGTCTACATTGTGAGTTTTATGTCACAATAATTGAATTGTAATTCCAACATTATTGTAATTTAGTGACCTGCTGCTGACCCTGTTGGTTTTGAACCTAGTGACTTTGACATGTGTTCTCTTGTGACCTTCAGCAGGAAGTGCCAGTGGAGAGGTGAAGGTCAGGCCACGACTGAGTGATGCACAGATGAATGGCAGCTGCAGCTCCCTTCTCAGTGAATACAGTCAAGCATCAGTGGCTCCAGAAGTGTTGGAGCAACAGCAGTCTGCACCTCCTACTCAGGGCTCCCAGAGGAATGTTGGGGTGAGCTCAGATACACTTCGTCACAACTCTGTTTCAGAAAACACAAAGTTGTCACATGAAAACTAAAAATGACAAAAAAATTGCTGTAAAAATATGTTTTGAATAAAATTTGATAGTTTCCTTTTACTCATTGTTTGTATCTTTTGAAGTTATATCATGGTCATATACAAATGTTTGGCTCCAAGTCCAAAATATTCTTGTGTCAAAAGACAACTTGCCTTTTGAAAATGGATAACCCTGTCTTGTGCTGGCAAGCCTATAAACAATGTCTTCTAAATGGACTGCATTTGCTTGCCACTTTGTATGTATTGCTGTTTAATACTTTGTCACAGTCTCGAGACTCTGTTCGGGGCACCCCACAAGCTCAACTGAATGTGCCCCCAAAATACTTCATCCCAACTTACAAGGGTTCAGCGAATGCTTTCACCGTTCAGCTGTTCTGCATTGATGAAAGGTTTGAAATGAGGTGAGTGTCCTTGTCAAACTTAAACTACTTATGTTTGTCATTCCTCAAGGTTAGTTCAGTCAGTCAGTTGATCATGTTCACATTGGTTTCCTTTAGAAATAAGGAGGGTATAGTCATTTATGCACATGTATTCCTTGCCTAGAGATTTGTGATATTGGTCTGGTGGATGCCAAGAAGTAAAGAAGTTGTAAAACTGTTTGCTTGTCACAGTGTGTGACTTAAGCCACAAGTCCAAGGCCTGGGTCTTGTAGCATTCTGTTCAGTCTATTAACATCAACAGATGATAACCCATATATTTCTCATGATCTTTTGCTTATCTCCCTTTCCCTTGCGAATGGTAGTGGAACACTTGAATCCCTTGAAGTTCCCGGAGCAGACGTGAAAATACACTCACCCACGAGTTACCTCCCTTTTGCCCTTTCCCGCGCAAACAGTCATGTGACCAGCCTTACTTGCACTGCCCAAGTGGATGGTGCGGCGAGCACTGGAGTCCCGTATACAGCATTATATCCTCTCAGTTAGACATTATTTGATTGTCAATATGGGAAATAAATCGAATCGAAGTTCTTCTAAGAAAAGCACATTTTGTGATCAGTGCAACAGCAACTTTTCCGCTGCTGATGTTTGGTGTGTGGTTTGTATAGGCTGTTGTAGTTGCTCACATCGGTGTTCTGTTTGTTCACACTTGAATGATGATGATGTTTCTGAATATCGACGGGTTGCATCTAGATGTAGATCGGACAGAGATCGGCGTACAACTGCTGCAGATCCTTCAACTTCTAGTGTGCTAAATGGGAACGCCGTTCGAAGAGAGCAGTTTGTCGATCTAAATCACCGTCCTCGGACGAAGTTTTTTATAGAGGTGGCCTCAGACTCCTACTTGAGCTAGTATCTCAGTCGTCTCTTTCGTCCTCAAACTTCTAGTCCCGTCTCCAGACAAGTTTTATCTCCGAGAGAGAGTGGTAGTGCTAACAACCTCTGTAGCACAGTCTCGGCCTTCTACCTTGGTGATGATTTCACAGACTCCTAGTTTGCCTCAGGTGGTTGTTTCCAGTGCGCAGCTTTAGTTGAGTGCTCCACCCCCCTCTGCTATGGTTGGTGCGTTTGGTGAAAGCGTTCACTCTCATGCGGCGAGTGCAGTCAGTTCGGCGCTTTCAACCACAGGGATCAGTTCGGCGCTTCAACCAATGTGCTGCTTGCTTCCAATGTGTCGCTTTGTTCCAGTTCGCCCTCTCATATCTTCCTGTGGTGACATCAGGCATGACGGCAGTATCCAGTGTGGCGCTTTCAACATCTTTCCTGTACCTTGCACCACCTGTCTCTGAACCGCCGCCTAGTTCCAGTGCGCCTCTTACTACCAGAGCGGCACTTGCTGTCCATTCATCACTTTGTACCAATGCGTCACTCTCACAAAGAGAAGAAGAGACCAGTGCATCGTTTCACTTCAGTTCACCGCTCTCGTTCGGTCCAATTCACCGATCAACGCTTCGCCCAGTGTGCCAATTCATTAGTTCCGACCAATTCATTAGTTCCGTTTTCGATTGGAACAACGATTCAACTTAGTAAACTGGTTTTTGATTGGAACACCTTTCAGGCCAGTACACCAGAACTGTATGGTATGACGTTTTATACGAATGCACCAGTCCCGATTGACTCTGCCCTGCCCCTGCACCCTGCCGAACCAGATCACTTGACCGAACCGGATCATTGTACCATACCAGATCGCCGCTCCAACAGTATTCGCCGATCCGACAGTGTTCGTTGAACTGTCAGCATTTGCTGAATTATCTGGTTGCCACTATGCGCATACTGTCATCATGACTTGTTTACTAGTTCGCATACTATGGTACCTACAGTGACTTTTTCTACTGCAGTTCTACTTCAACACTTCTTCCAAAGTTCTACTTCAACACTTCTTCCAACTACGGCATTGATACCTCATTTCTACAGTTTTTACCGGTGCTCAGCTTGGGGATTACGCTTCCTGCTTCTACGGTGTCTAGGAACAGACAGAGCATTCACTCCGATGCGCTGCTTTCATTCACTTCCTGGTTATCTACTATTGTGCCGTATTCAGAGTGCCGCTTTCCTCCAATGTATCAATGCTTCCATCCAGTGTGACACTTTCTTATGTATCAACACTTCCAGTTAGTGGATCATTCGGCTGGTTGTACAGAGGTAGTAGTTATGTCAGTAGCACAGGCCTCTACATTATGGCGGTGATTGATGATCCCGGATTTTTAAGATTCCTCCGTCATCTACTATCCGATCTTCACCTTTGATGAATGATTCGATTCAACGAATCTACCATTCGACGTAGATATCACCTCTACAACTACCCATTTGACATATTTGTCCAGAAACTTGACGATGATGTGAAAGGAAGGGTGCTGAGGTTGAGGAAACAGACCACGATTACACCCAGCGATACACCACAAATCTGCTACGAGTTGTCTGTATACAGTAACAAGACTCAGTGAAACGTCGTACAATATTTCTGAATGTCAAGCTGGTCTATTTATGCACAGTTTCTGCGTGTGGTTCCAGCAGTAATGTTTGATCAAGTAGCTAGTGTCACTTTACCCAGATTCAATGGGTTGGGACTCGCCTGGTTAATTGACATCCGTGTTGTCCGTTTTTTTGTCACTATTGCATTGTGGGTAGCATTTGCAATGGTGGACTACTGTTTGTTTACCGGAGACTTTTTTGATGATACAGTGACTATGAAGTGCCCTGACAGACTAGTCTTGGTCCCACGAAGCGGATACCTATCCCAGCCTTTTATTGCCAGTGATGATGAACGGTGCCATTCCCGGTAAGAGTGATTATGTCGAAGTTTTGTCAGTCATCCGAGAGAAGCAGTTTACCGAGGGTGTCAGACAGAATCGCCCGAGAACGATTTCACTTGGCTAGGGTTACTTGGTTTTTAGATTAAGCCCTCAGTTCAGAGGTCACTGCAGCCATGTCCAGACTGTCCGCAAGCATCGATTTTACTACCTTCATTTCCCTTACGAACGTTCCTGGTGTCACTGGTCTTGTTACCTCCGCCATTCCATCAACTTTACGAATGTTACGGTAGATTGACGATCCCATGCCTTGCATCTACTAGCTTTTCAATCCATCTGGCGGACCAACACTTCATTCAGTGAACCATTCGTTCCTAGGATCACTGATTATACGGCCTGCATCACTATGTGTACAATGTGAACCTTCCTGTAGATTGACTGACATTCTCCATGCCACGAACCTACTACATTCAGCACTTCTTCAGTACTATCATGCTGGCTTGACTAATCGAATGTATCCTATCTCAGGAGAGATTCCTTCTTCAGTGGCAGTAGTTGCTAGGCCTTCTGATATCAGCTCAAGCCCCAACGTACAGAGGCCATCTCCTACTTCGGCCGAAACAGCAATTTCTACGCCCATATCTCGAGGCCGTCAACTGAACGCGAAGGAATTGAGTCGCCTTCCAGAACCGCTTTGTTCAGTCCTTCAATGGTGGCTCGACGAACTGAATGTCTGCGCTGGCGTTTCTTTGGTACCCCTAGCGCTTTTGCAACCCAAGATTCTTCATGTGGTACAAGACCTTTTTCTGTTGATGTCAGCTCAAGTTGTGACTCTGAGGGGATAGCTTCAACTACGGCCTCTCCACTTTTTTCTGTGTCCGCACATCAGGATCGGCGACCCTAACGCATTGATCTTTCTTTCTCCAGTGCTCCATCCCCATCTCCAGTGGTGTTTGGACGTGTTGAATGTTTGTGGCGAAGTCTCTTTATGGCCGTTTGCTCCAGTACATCACCTGTACGTAGACGCCTCTCTACACTGGTGGGGAGCTCACTTTCTTGATCAGCAGGTGGCAGGGCTCCGATCTCCCGCAGACTGCGCATGTCACATCAACGTTTTGGAGCTCAGGGCAGTGATTCTAGCGATCACTCATTGGCAACAGCTGTTACAATCAACCGAGCTTTTGATTCAATCGACTATGCTGCAGTCGTGTGGCACATTAATCGAATGGGATCCACGGGGTCTCCTCAGCTTCTTCAGTGGACACAACAGTTTTTCCACTTAGTAGACTCTCTCAACATCACGGTCCAGGCCAATCACATCCCAAGGGTGAAGCACACCATAGCAGATTCTTTGTCCCGTCCGGTTCGACCATACCCAGTGGAGTGGAAACTGAATCCGCATGATCCAGACTTTGTGCCTTCCGATGTTTAACCCGACAGTGAATCTGTTTGCTACCCGCTTCCATCACCAGCTTTCAATAGTCGTGTCAGCAATGCCAGATCCTTTGGCCTGGGAACACGACGCTCTAGCCCTCCCTGGGATGACTTGAACGCGTATGCGTTTCACCAGTGGCGCTCCTCAAGTTACGCACGACGCAACGGATGACACTGTTTGGGTCGCACCTTTTTGGCCCCTCAGAAGTTTGTTCTTAGACCTGCAAGACTTGGCCGACCCATTCCAGTACCACTTCCCGATCACGACGATCTTCTGGTTCATCTTCACTCCGATCAGCTGCATTGGTCTCCGCTCACACTTAGTCTTCACGCCTGGTGCATTTGCATGAATCGCTAACTGCAAAGGGATATTCCAAGCGAGTTGCTACGGCGATTACCACGGCGCACCAAACTTCTACCAGGCCACTCTGTGATGACTATGGAAGTATTTTGAAGCGTACTGCAAGACGATGGGTATTATATCTCCCTCTACAGCATCACCTCAGATGGTTTCGGAGTACCTCCAGCATCCTAGAACTTCCAAAGAATTGAAGGGTTCTACCTTGTCTACATACCTGGCCATGCGTAACACAGTTATTGCGCCGGCTACAGGTGCAAAGGTGTCAACTGTCCCTGAGCTCCAGTCTCTCCTCAGATCTTACAAGTTGCTGATAAATCCCGGAAGTTTCAGCCACCAGCCTGGGACCTTTCCGTGATTTTTAATCATCTCACGTTAGAGGAGTATGAACCTTCTGGCAGAGAAGGATTTCAAGCATGTCACGTTTAAGACTTTCTTCCTCCTGGCTCTTGCGACTGTTGCCTGCATCTCCGAGCTTCCTGCACTGGATGTCACCTGGTTGTGCTTCGAGAGGACCAGACATGCCAAAGCCCTCCCTGGTTTGAGGTGGGATCTCGTGTCTGAAACCAGTTGCCTGGACAGCCGGACAGACTATTCGCCTTCCCGCCGCTGTCTACTATTCTGGGCCGTGACGACACCGAGGATCTCTCCTGTCCTGTCCGGACTTTACGGGGTTTTAGCTGCCTCCAAGGGCCGTCGTAGGTTACTTGTTTAATTCTCTGTCATCTGCCTCATCTACAGAAGTCTCTTGTACCACACTGACCTTCTGGATGCGATCTACCATCCTTCATGCCTACACCTATGCTGACCTTCCTTCTCCTACCCCAGTGAATTAAAGTCGAAGACCTTAATCTGGACAGTCGCTGCTTCGAAACTACCCCCCACAGACACACGCTGGAAGGTGGTGAAAGAGGGAATAGCCCGGTTGTTTAACGTTCAGTACCAATCCCCCTAACTTAGCAAAGGTGAGAAAGGACTTAGGAGCGGAATGCTTCGAAAACCATGCAGGTAATCGGAAATCAACACTTCACTGACGTAATTCCTCAGAGAGTAGAGGTCACTCCCTAGAGTTTTTGTGCTGTGTAAGCTAAGGGGTTATCAGAAGCAACCCATCACAAGTTCGGAGTTAGCATATCGGGAGTTGGTGCTTTCTCCTGGCCTCCTTGTGTTATGCGACCTCACGGTTGTAGAGTTGACACAGGGTAATTTCTGGCCCACCAGCCAACTGTGGTATAATGCATACCATGAGATAGGATAAGTTTAAAAATTTGGAACTTTACTATAAATTGTATAATTATATACTTATCCTATCTCACGCGATGGATAGCCACCCGACCTGCCCCACATCACAGATTACTGGATGCTCCAAGACGAGAATGACAGGCACAGAACGTCACGTGATCATCTGAGCGATCTGCATGCTTATTGAGATGATTGACAGGTACTGCTGTCGGAGTGGGGGCAGAGGTCAGGTGGTCAGAGTCAGGAAGTTTTGATTCAACTTAGCCTACAGCACGTTTCCACACATGGTCGTAGAAGAAGAAGAGAGGTGCATACCGTGAGATAGGATAAGTATATAAATATACAATTTATAGTAAAATTTCCAATTGTGTGGACAAGTTACATTGATTACGTCTCTCATAAGATAAAATGATTCTTTTTGCAGATCCTTTGATTTCCTTGGCAAAGCATTCTCCTTGTTCCCGACAATGGACTTCTGCATCATCACTGTTCCCCATCTGGTCCCCGAGTTCCCTCTGCTGCAGGGATTTGTGGTATGTAAGGCACACGGTCCCCACAAAGACCCTAGTTGGTTATTGTTTTTATTACCCATATCAGTTTTCGATTTAAAAAATGCTGAAATGAAAACAACATTCTCTATAAGGAAACCCGCGATGTTGAGAATCCCCATATTCCTATATGGGTAATAAATTACTATAGAAGCAACTCCCTAGGTTTGTCTGGTGATACTGAGTAGGGTGGTGATGATGGATGAAACTAGGAAGTTCTGAAGGCTGTACATCGATGACATGTTGAAATATTGCCAGTTGTCTTCAAGATCATGCATGACTATTGATGGTCTAATAAACATGATTAAGCCCATTTCTGCATGATATTGCTGGAATATTGCTAAAAGCGGCGTAAAACCAAACTCACTCACTCACTAATAAACATGAAAAATACTTACATCAAGATTGATAGGTTGTTTATGAATGGGATATTTGCATTTTATTCAGTATGTCATTTTTTACAGTTTTAATTTGGTGGGTGTTCTTTGAAATTAATTAACAGCTGCAAAAGAAATACCTGCACACTTTCCTTGACCAGGCAAGGTTTGTTGTTTAACACCACACTCGGCAATATACTCGCTGTATGGCGGAGATCTGTAAATAATCGAGTCTGGACCAGACAATCCAGTGATGAGCATTAATCTACAGCATGAGCATCAATCTACGCAATTGGGATACAATGACATGTGTCAACCAAGTTAGCAAGGCTGACCACCTTATCCCGTTAGCCGCCTCTTATGACAAGCATGGGTTGCTGAAGACCAATTCTAACCTGGATCTTGTTTGTTCATAATAGGTCCATCGTGATTTGTTCACAATAGGCCCATCACAGTATTTCTATCCAGAAATCAAGTTTATTGTAGTATCCTTTAATTGTGAACTTGTTACTAACTCTTGTTATGTCTACATGTATTGATGAATGTTTGAGATACATGAGGTCTGTTACAGAGAGTGACCCCGAGGTCCTCCAGTACACTGCCTCAGGAGCTGTATGTATTCCACAGATCAGGACTTCTCAAGTAAGTGCATCATATTGCAACATGATATCATTTAAGAATTGACCTTGTTTTTGTTTATTGAGGTGTAAATATAAAAACCAGGGACCCACCTGTGTGGATTAACATTTAGTGTTTGTAACTCCATAAATGTAATGACACATTTAAGGAAATTCTTATAAATATGAAAGTAAACAATGATACCTTCTCGATGACAATTTAATCATTATCACAGTAAATAGTAAAGAACAATGCAAAGTAAACCAAAGTAACTGACAGTTGTTAGTGTCTGTGGGTGGGTTGGTGTGGGTAAAGTAAGTGGCCAGGTAGATTGGTAGAATTTCAGATACTTAATTTGAGCTACGGCATCAGCACTCTTATGAACTTTCTCTTGCATTCCAATGTACAGAGATTTCCAAGTGCGTGTAGCCTGTACCAGTGATGTGAGTGGGGTGGAGACTCTGGTGAAAACTGTGGACCTCCACGACAACCTCCTGAAGGACCTGAAGCAGTTCAACATGGCTCGTAGAGATGAGGTCAGCTTACTGCCTTATATGTCTTGTCACAGGCTGCATTCACCATACTAACAGTGTAGTACTGTGATGATGATGTTAGAGATTTAACAAGCGATTACGGACAACTTGATTTCACTCTTGTAGATGTATGTTGGTGCTATGTTGTATGATGCTACTTTGGGCCCAGGTTTGAATCCCCTCATGGGTGGAGTGAGAGTATGGTTTTCTGCCGCTTTAGCAGTATTCCTGCAATATGTTGGCATGGGACACCAGAAATTGGCCTCCCACAATGTACCCATGTGGGGAATTGAACCCAGGTTTTTGGTGTGATGAGCGAACGCTATTCCATTGTACCCACAATGAATAATACATTGTGTATGATCTAATTTTATGTCACAGGGACCTGACTTGACTCAATTTGTTTACATTTGTCAGTGTTCAGTGTAAATCTATAGATTGTGTCTTTGGTCATTGGTCATATTCATACTGGTATGTTGCTTCATTAAGATTTAAGATGTGAATTACATTTGGTCACCCAGATAACAACCAGACTCAACAAACTTATCAGTTATTGATGTTGTCAAATTGATGTATGCAAATGTTTATGTCATGTTTGTTACAGACCGGCACAGAGATTCAAGCATTTGTGGCAGAAAGCCAGGACCAGATTGTGGGTGTGGCGATAGTCAGACGAGAAGAGGTAAAAACCTTGTTCTGGTTCTATAAAGAAACACACTTTGTGTTCTCTATGGTGAATCCCAGCTTCTTGTGCAGGGTCATGTTTGTGAGGATTGACTCCAAGAATTAACCTAATTATGCTTACTATCAAAGTATCGCCAGTGGGTTTCATGGAAGGTGTAAACATGATCTTCATCCCCTCAGGCTGTTCCTATTCCATCAAGCTGAAACTCTGTGATGTAGCAGAACTATTGTTAAAATGGCATTAGTCTCAACATGTGATGACCCTACCATTACTGACATTAGTCAGTTGTCATGGTTTCGAAATGAACTTGAACCATAAGAAAAAGGAACTGGGATCTATTACTGGATTGGTGGACAATCTAGCAATGTTAGTGGAGTTATCCCCCTTTATTCTTCACACAACTGATTTTTTAGAAACAGTAATTTCAGTTCAGCTGAATTTCATACTTAGCAGTTTGTAGTCTTTTATAAAGGCATGAATGTTTCATAGCTTGTCACGACTTCTTCCCCCAGGACATTGAGTATATTCGCTCCCACTACAACATTGAGGACTTCATCTACTACAACCACCATCGCCGCGAGGATCATGCACACTTGCATCACTTTGCTCTTAACCCCATCTTCAATCATCTCTCCAAACATTTCCTTAAGGTATGGGCTCAGGTTCTGTATATTTTCAATCAAGTGGTTATCAGTGCATTTTTTTACATGTATTCATATAAGCAGTTTGAACCATATACTTTTGACTCTACCAGCCCAAACTGGTCAGTTGATTTTATTTCAAACAGATTTTAGCATTAACAATATGGACTCTTTTAAGCTAGCCACCATGTTTAGTAGAAAGAAAGAAGTTTAACCTGGTGACTTTGAAGACTGTAAAGGGCAAGATATTCCTTTTTGTAAAGCATATAAATTGGCCTGACCGGAAGTTGCATCTCTTGGCCACGCTAGAAACCGATAATGGTGGTTTTCAGTCCTCGTTTTACTTTTGGCAGCACCATACCTGTTGTCATGGGTTGATGAAAGTGGTGAACGTATGCGACCTGCATGTCATTCACCTTTCTTCCCATATCACACTGACAGGCTGTGATATACCTGGAATACTGTTCAAAGCAGTGTTAAAACAATACTCAGTGGCTCTTTGTAACTAGAATACTGCTTAAGGTGGTGGTGTTAAAACCAAGTCACTTATGTTTGCATTCTTGTATCCCATCTATTACAGGAAATTCTGCGACTGGGCCACAAGACCTGCTTGTATTATCCTTTGTATCCCCCCTACACCAAGAAAGAGGTGGGTAACAGTGACGGAGGTGGGTAACAGTGATGGAGGTGGGTAACAGTGACGGAGGTGGGTAACAGTGACAGAGATGGGTAACAGTGACTGAAGTGGCTTACAGTGACGGAGGTGGGTAGCAGTGACGGAGGTGGGTAACAGTGACTGAGGTGGGCAACAGTGACGGAGGTGGGCAACAGTGACTGAGGTGGGTTACAGTGACGGTGACTGAGGTGGGTAACAGTGGCGGAGTGGGTACGGGGGTGGGTAACAGTGATGGAGGTGTGTAACAGTGACGGAGGTGGGTAACAGTGACTGAGGTGGGTAACAGTGACGGAGGTGGGTAACAGTGACGGAGGTGGGTAACAGTGACGGAGGTGGGTTAACAGTGACAGGTGGGTTACAGTGGGAGGTAACAGTGGTGACAGTAACAGTGACTTTGTCTATACTGATGCTTCCCCTCCTTGTTAAATAAACGATGGGGATTTGGTTCCAACAGAAGTTAAACAAAAGATATAAAAGGGGCAAAACTAGTTCTTTAACTATGGCCTGCTCAGAGAGGTGGACTCTTTGCTTGTGGGATTTCTGTATCAACAGATTCAACAAGTCATGTACCAGTGAATAGAAGGCTGAGATGTTATGCAACTCAAATGTTTAGCAACAAAATACTGACATCTTCCTCTTACATTCTGTTTTTGTTTGTCCATATTTTATGTATAGTTGCACTGTATACTGAGTTGGCAATGTAGTTGATTAAAAACAATCTCACTGTTGTCAAACATCAAAGGGATATTGGAGGTATATATTTCTGTGTAGAGTTTCATTCCTTAGCTGTGCCAGGATCCAGTGATCTGCACAGGTTGTAATTCCCGACCCTCTCTGATCATATGCTAGTGGGTTTCACCAAAGGTTAATTCTATCACAACCAGTTTAAACTTTGTCTTTCTCCAACGGAACATGAAGATGATGACTAACATACAACTGAATCACTGTCAAAGCAGCATTAAACCCAACTCACTAACACACTTGTATTGGAGCAGTGATGAATGTTGGTGTTGTATTTTCACTTCAGATAGTAGATAAGCACTCCCTGGTGGGCTGCCTCAACAACCTGGTGCCTGTCCATGCCCGCCGCCAAATTGTCTACCCCCTGGCAGAGCTGGGAGACAATGCTCCCTCACAGAGAGTGCTCAAACACCAGGAGCCCTATGCCCTCAACCATATCAACAGAAAACTCACACTGGAGCCTAAGGTGAGTCCCTGGTCATTTGGAGCTATTGGGTTTTGTAAACAATTGCCATACACTGATAGAATACTGGATATTTATCTGACATGTTTTAAATAACAGCATGCGACAACATTACTGAATTGGTTGATGACGATCAAGTTCTGCAGAAACTATTACTCCTCAACTCACTTGGATTTGTGTGTTTAATTTGATTACGCTGCAAAATTGAATAAAAACGCTTTTCAGAAACATGAAATATTCCTCAAAAACAGAAGATCCATGTTGTGCAGCAACCTCGTATTTGACATCCATCAGGGCTGAATTTCAACAAACATGCGTTTCAAGTCAGTTTTGAAAGTAAAACTGACATTTACTCTACATTTACATAATAAAGTCTGTTTCAAGCTGTTTTATAAGGGGCAAGGTGACTGAAAAATGTAAAATATAATTGGGTATTTAGTATTCTTGCCACAGTTGTCAATATTTGGAGTGAACAATCTGAGTGTGTACTGGTTTTATCCTATTGTGATGGATGGTGATGATATATGCATGAATTAAATTTGACAATTTCGACATGAGAAGGCCTCCAATTTTAACCTGCCTTGGAAAGTCTTCGAAGTTGGTTACTGATTTTAACCTTGAAAAGTTTTATCATTACTTGAAAATATCACACACAAAAAAATAGGGTTTTGTATTAAACCAAGGATTTATCTGTGTTGTGTCAGGTGACCATCAATGCCAGGATTGTTGTGGTCGGAGCATCTGATGTAGGTATCTCTTTCCTGGAGACCCTGGCTTACTGGTGAGTACTGATGCTACTACTGATGAGTGAGTGAGTATGGTTTTACACTGCTTTTAGCAATATTCCAGCAATATCATGGCAAGGGGACACCAGAAATGGGCTTCACACATTGTACCCATGTGGGGAATCAAACCGGGTCTTCAGCATGATGAGCGGCGCTTTAACCACTAGGCTACCCCACCGTCCCTACTGTTAATGGTGATGGTGATGGTGATGATGATGATGATGATGAAGTAGTTTTGTTTGTTGCCACACTTATAAATAATTCAGTTATATCATGGCATGTCAGCCTAATCCTTAAGGAATTATGGGAACCTAGGTTTTCGATCACCAGATCCTAACATACTAAGGGTTTGCAACTCTGTGCAGCACACTGCATACCTTATATGTCTTTAGTCATTCGTAGGTGTAGGACAAACATTAATGAAAGTGATTTTTCCAAGCCCTGATATATATAATCCTGATCCTGTGTACTGTTTGTCAGCCCCCACCTGAGATTCAACAACCTGACATTAATCTCCCCACATGGCATCCCCGGGGAGATGGCGCCAGATACCCTCCGAGACTCGCTGCTCTCCACCAGGTAACTTGTTCCTTCAATGATATGACTTGACTTCACTCTTCTGTCCTTTGCCCCCATCCTAAAATATTAGTCACTACTACTCAGTGGCGTCATAATGGTGTTCTCTTGAAATCATAATGAGACCTAAGGGATTATGCTGAATTTGACACTGATATTTTGTCAGTCATTGCTAATTGCATGCATAAATGTATTTTAGAGTTCTAACATGTCCTTAATACACAGATTTTGCCTTCCTTGATACAGAGACTTTGCCTTCCTTAATACACAGACTTTGCCGTTTTTGATACACAGACTTTGATGTATAACTCTCATAGTCTTCCAACAAAAGCCGACATGTAGCACACTTGTGTATTGTATGTCTGCAGATGGTATGTGTATTGCGTGTCCATGTGCAGCTTGTGTATTGCGTGTCACTGTGTATTGCAGCCACTGTTACACCCAGGAGGAGTACAGCAAGAGTGCACTGCGGACATGGGTCAACGTGGTGTATGGCAAGATGTCAGCCATAGACAGGTACACTGGACTTACTGGCAGGGATCATTCTCAACGAAGATGTCTTATGCCATAAAGATTCTTCATTGCTTTCAATGACATAAAAATTTAAAATAGTGTTTTGTTTTGAAAGAAAACAATGTCAAACTGTGAAAGATCTAGGAATCTAGAACAGTGGGATTCCGATTTGTTCATGCCAGTAAAACAAAAAGAGCTTCTCCTTGATGTCATCACGTGCAGAGGGTTATCAGTGTGTTTAGAAGAAAGCTTGTCCAAAGTGCAAAACATTTGAAATTCATTTCTTCCTAACTGTTTTGTTGTCATTCTAGAAATTGGTTAATAATATGAAAACAAACAATATATTCACTTGGTTGTGGTCCTGTTTTACAATGTAAAACTCATTGAATCATTGCCAAATGCAATACTCCATCAGTTGTTATCCATAAAGGTGAATGTTTTGTCATTTATGTCCAGCTAAAATAGACCACATATTGATGTTTAATTAAACCAACAGAAATGTTCAATCCAGAAGATTCCTTAGAGTTTTTGAAGACTCTAATTATCATCTATTTGTAGAATGTCTCAAGAACTAATTGTTCAAGTTTTCTGTTAACATTCAATATTATTCATAAGAGTTATATGCTGCTAACAGTTGTGTGATTTCTTTTTCTCAACAGGAAGAAGAAGCTTGTGGTGGTGAATGGGAATGTTGTTGTCCCCTTTGACCACCTGGTCATCAGCACTGGCCAGCAGTACCAGGTCCCCTGTCCTACTGATGCTGATATTGAGGCAGGGGAGACAAACGCTGACCTTGAGAACAGCCCTGATCGCAGACACACAGGAAGTGTGCCCAAGAACCTGTTTCTGACTAATGATGCTTATGATTCTGCTGTGGCTCTGTACAGGGTTGAGAATGGTCTGCTCAAGACTGAGAGTAAGTAAGATTTAATGCATTTGACATGGCATTTTTCAATATCTGTAATGCTTAGGTACTTAGAAAAATGAGGATATAGGTTGCAGTGTAGAAAGAGCCTGATAGGGATTGGGACTTGTCAAGGATGACTTTTTTTGCTATTAATCTCTAATTTCCTGTCTCATCAATTGTTTACAGTCCTCCAAGATGATTTTAGGTCCACCGTCACATGGCTTTCTGCCAATCAGACAGTAAGGAGTGCATGTATTACTCAAGGGTTTTCTCACACAGATATAGTCTCACCTAGTAAATAGGCTTTCCTTCTTTGAAAAATGAAAAAATTGAGTTGGAGGTTTTATTTTTTAAAGAATTGATGTAAGTTCTAAATATTGAATTACGTTTCCCAAAATATTTTATTTCATGGCAAGACAGCATTCCTAGAGACAGCTTTTGAATCGGTTTTCCTAGGAACAGTTTCCTTGGTACAGCTTTCCTAAAGATGTGTCAAATTTCGGTTGTTTTATTTGCAAATTATGACTCCATCTGTTTCCTGTTTTCCCCAGAGAAAGTAGTTGTGTATGGCAACTCCCTGGATGCAGTCTGCTGTGTACAGACCTTGATGGCTGTGGGAGTGGAACCCAGCCGCATCAGTCTGGTCCAGCCACCACTAGCATACGAGGTAATAGTACTACCTTTAGGGACACTGGTATAGGTGTGAAAGGGTTAACACTGGTATAGGTGTAAAAGGGTTAATTATAAGGGATGAGCCTTGTCCAGCCACCACTAGCATACGAGAGGTAATAGTACCTACCTTTAGGGACACTGGTATAGGTGTGAAAGGGTTAGTTATAAGGGATGAGCCTTGTCCAGCCACCACTAGCATACCGAGGTAATAGTACTACCTTTTAGGGACACTGGTATAGGTGTGAAAGGGTTAGTTATAAGGGATGAGCCTTGTCCAGCCACCACTAGCATACGAGGTAATAGTACTACCTTTAGGGACACTGGTATAGGTGTGAAAGGGTTAGTTATAAGGGATGAGCCTTGTCCAGCCACCACTAGCATACGAGGTAATAGTACTACCTTTTAGGGACACTGGTATAGGTGTGAAAGGGTTAGTTATAAGGGATGAGCCTTGTCCAGCCACCACTAGCATACGAGGTAATAGTACTACCTTTTAGGGACACTGGTATAGGTGTGAAAGGGTTAGTTATAAGGGATGAGCCTTGTCCAGCCACCACTAGCATACGAGGTAATAGTACTACCTTTTAGGGACACTGGTTTAGGTGTGAAAGGGTTAGTTATAAGGGATGAGCCTTGTCCAGCCACCACTAGCATACGAGGTAATAGTACTACCTTTTAGGGACACTGGTATAGGTGTGAAAGGGTTAGTTATAAGGGATGAGCCTTGTCCAGCCACCACTAGCATACGAGGTAATAGTACTACCTTTAGGGACACTGGTATAGGTGTAAAAGGGTTAGTTATAAGGGATGAGCCTTGTCCAGCCACCACTAGCATACGAGGTAATAGTACTACCTTTTTAGGACACTGGTATAGGTGTGGAAAGGGTTAGTTATAAGGGATGAGCCTTGGTCCAGCCACCACTAGCATACGAGGTAATAGTACTACCTTTTAGGGACACTGGTATAGGTGTGAAAGGGTTAGTTATAAAGGGATGAGCCTTGTCCAGCCACCACTAGCATACAGGTAATAATAGTACTACTTTTAGGGACACTGGTTTAGGTGTGAAAGGGTTAGTTATAAGGATGAGCCTTGTCCAGCCACCACTAGCATACGAGGTAATAAGTAGTACTACCTTTAGGGACACTGGTATAGGTGTAAAAGGGTTAATTATAAGGGATGAGCCTTGTCCAGCCACCACTAGCATACAAGGTAATAGTACAACCTTTAGGGACACTGGTTTAGGTGTAAAAGGGTTAATTATAAGGGATGAGCCTTGTCCAGACACATACTGAGGTAATAGTACAACCTATAGGGACACTGGTTTAGGTGTAAAAGGGGTTAATTATAAGGGATGAGCCTTGTCCAGCCACCACTAGCATACGAGAGGTAATAGTACTACCTTTAGGGACACTGGTATAGGTGTGAAAGGGTTAAGTACAACTGAGTACAATTCTAGTAGTCCCATCTGGGATTTGAACTCACACTGTCAAGAGTAAGGCACCACATCACCAGCCTACTAGTAGACTGAGTGGGTTATAGCACTACTGACTCTGTGTGCTGGCAATTAGAAAAAAGATCATTGTGTACCCATTGTTATCAGTGCAATATGATGTCTCCAGCTGATATGACTAATAATACAATAAGATGTCATCTATCGTTTCATTATGTCACATTAGTCTCTATATACTGACTGAGCTGATGTCTCCAGCTGATATGACTAATAATACAATAAGATGTCATCTATCGTTTCATTATGTCACATTAGTCTCTATATACTGACTGAGCTGATGTCTCCAGCTGATATGACTAATAATACAATAAGATGTCATCTATCGTTTCATTATGTCACATTAGTCTCTATATACTGACTGAGCTGATGTCTCCAGCTGATATGACTAATAATACAATAAGATGTCATCTATCATTTCATTATGTCACATACTAGTAAGTCTCTATATACTGACTGAGCTGATGTCTCCAGCTGATATGACTAATAATACAATAAGATGTCATCTATCATTTCATTATGTCACATACTAGTAAGTCTCTATATACTGACTGAGCTGATGTCTCCAGCTGATATGACTAATAATACAATAAGATGTCATCTATCGTTTCATTATGTCACATTAGTCTCTATATACTGACTGAGCTGATGTCTCCAGCTGAGATCAGCAACCCATAGTTTTTCTCTTGTTTCTTAGAAATAAAGATTATAAGTAATATATGAATTCTACTTGCAACTTATCTCTTATGATCAAATGTTGAATACAATTTATTGACTGGGGAAAGATAATCTGAAGCTTACTGTTAATCTCTAATTTGTCTGCTGCAGTATTTATATACCTCGTCAATCTTTACGTTTAACTTCTTTGAGTGGAATTTTAGAAGTTGGGAAGTACAATATAGAACAAACTTTATGGATAACAACTTCTTTTTATTCGTGAGTCCGACGTTTCGATACAGATTCTTGTACCGTTGTCAAGCATAGTGGAACATGAAGAAGGGGAAGTGTATATATACTGGATGTAACAATGTAACAAAGAAAACAACATAATAACATAATTGGCTAGGCAGAAAGCTGATGAAGCCAGAGAGTAAACAGAGGACAGGCGTGGAAGCCAATGATGTACAAATAATAATAGATGCCTAGCCAATTATGTTATTATGTTGTTTTCTTTGTTACATTGTTACATCAGTAATATTTCCCCTTCTTCATGTTCCATTAAATATCTATTTAAATCACAGAATCCATAAAGTTTGTTCTATATAATCTTTGCGTTGTTGACATAATGCTGATTGGTTAATCACTACATCTATATACAAAGTGGGGAATAATTAACCCCTTGGCTTCTGAAGTAATTTGAAGAAATATTATTTAAGGGAAGAACAACTAAATTGGGTGTATGATGAATAATGTTATGACAATAGAGCATCAACTTGTTGTATAAATGTTAGGTAAGTGAAATGCATCAAATGCAAATCATAAAAAACATAAGTATATCAAGATACCTTAATACACTGAATTGATTTTCCTGACTGTTAAGTTACGCTAACAGAAATCCCATAAATCGCCACACCAGTTGTCAACTGACAGTGATGAAACTGTCAAGTGTAAAGTTGTAACACCCAAGTGATTAAAGTACTTCTCAAACTGAGCCTACGTGCCACATCTGAACTGATTAACTGTTCAACGTAATGTTCAATCCAACAGACAAGCACTTTTATTCGATTTTTAACATGCTGACTGCCACTTTAGAAGAATCTCGGCCATTTATGGTGACAGCTGGAATAGGTCAATAAATTTTGATAGCAAATTGATAATCACGTATAACACATATTGTTCGTAAAATTGTTTTCAGATATTTTGTAATAACCTGGGTACCATACTTTGTCATAAAGTATTTTGTTTCTATACATTTAAACAATAGGGTAAAACAGTTTAACACACACAGAACAATGCAAGTCAGATGTGAAGGACCTTTCTCAGAAGTGAATTTTACAATCCAAATATGAATTATTAAGCTTTGAATATGATCAATATTTATAATAACTTGTTGCATTTTCATAAAAGTATTGGCATTTTTAACTCCCTAACAATAAAGTGAACAGTATGCCCCTCCCTCCAGCTGCCTGTCCATCTGTCTCCATCTATTTTCTGTCGAGAACAGAACTGAAAACCATTGAATTCTGTTTGTTGAAACAGAACTCCTCCACAGAGCAATTGATTGGGAACTGGTGCCTTTAATCGATTTGGAATATGTTTTTTAAAATTGTTCATGAACACTACAAACCAACACATCTTATACCCATTTTGAACAATTATTTCCTGTCCCACAAAGTGATGGTAGAGATGTAAGACAGACACAACTTACAGACTGTGTCAAGTGAGTGAATGGTCCACATGGCAAGGGACTTCCAGCATTCATTTTATAGGGACGGATAACCTGTAATTCCAATTTTGAGTAAATGTTTCAATATAATCAGCACTGACATTTTGAGACAAAGTGAAGAAAAATTTATGAAATGTCAGCTCTACAGAAAAACATCACTGAAGACAGTGTATTGTGCAACTGACTGACGGAATGAATTTGTAACATTAAGAAGAATGGATGAAGTCATATAAAAATCTTCTCAACATTGAAGCACTATGATGTCATACTGCTTCAACTGACCTGTCAGCATGTAGTATTGCTAAAATAACCATGTGCATATATCAGAAAGTTGTTACACATGATTATTCAAGTATTATAAAGTTAGCTTAGATCAATGTGGAATCCTGTGTGGAACAGTCCCACCACTGTGTGGTTGCTTATACTAAGCTTCAGAATATCGTCCCACTGTCTGCCCCAGGTTGCCCTGCTCTGTTCTGCTTGTACATCCTAGGATGCTGCAGTGTAGGTTACATGTATGTCACAAACCAAGCTGTAAGGTGTACCTTGTCCCACTGTCTGCCCTACTGTCTGCCCCAGGTTGCCCTGCTCTGTTCTGCTTGTACATCCTAGGATGCTGCAGTGTAGGTTACATGTATGTCACAAACCAAGCTGTAAGGTGTACCTTGTCCCACTGTCTGCCCCACTGTCCTGCTGCCCCTGCCTTGCCCCAGTTGCCCTGCTCTGTTCTGCTTGTACATCCTAGGATGCTGCAGTGTAGGTTACATGTATGTCACAAACCAAGCTGTAAGATGTACCTTGTCCCACTGTCTGCCCCACTGTCTGCCCCTGTCTGCCCTGCCCTGTTCTGCTGATACATCCTAGGATGCTGCAGTGTAGGTTACATGTATGTCACAAACCAAGCTGTAAGATCCTAGGATGCTGCAGTGTAGGTTACATGTATGTCACAAATGTCACAAACCAAGCTGTAAGGTGTACCTTGTCCCACTGTCTGCCCCACTGTCTGCCCCACTGTCTGCCCTTGTGTGCCCTGCTCTGTTCTGCTTGTACATCCTAGGATGCTGCAGTGTAGGTTACATGTATGTCACAAACCAAGCTGTAAGGTGTACCTTGTCCCACTGTCTGCCCTGCCCTGCTGTCTGCCCTGTGCTGTTGCCCCTGCTCTGTTCTGCTTTGTCCCCACTGTACCTCTGCCCTGCCCAGTCACTGTCTGCCCTTGTGGTTGCCCTGCTCTGTTCTGCTTAGGATACATCCTAGGATGCTGCAGTGTAGGTTACATGTATGTCACAAACCAAGCTGTCTGCCCTACTGTCTGTGTACCTGCTGCAGTGTCCCCACTGTAAGGTGTACCTTGTCCCACTGTCTGCCCCACTGTCTGCCCCACTGTCTGCCCCAGGTTGCCCTGCTCTGTTCTGCTTGTACATCCTAGGATGCTGCAGTGTAGGTTACATGTATGTCACAAACCAAGCTGTAAGATGTACCTCCTTCCTGATATTGTCAGTTTGTTTTTGTTGAAGGTGACGTGTGTAAACATCCCGACTGTGGAGAAGACCATTGCAGACAATCTAGCGGCTGCTGGTGTAACTGTCCACACCAACTGCATCTTGGCTCGCTTTAATACCACTGATGATGGCAGTGAAATTACCTCCCTTGATTTTACCACCAAAAGCCGTCCTCTCAACGTACAGTGTGATGTAAGTAGTATAATAGTACAACAGTCAATTACACATATAAGCCAGCATATGGACAGTTGTATTCCTGCTCTTAGTATTTCTTGGAATATTTTGGTTTGCTGGAAACATGAAATCAGCACTGTCTGATTTCCTGAAGTGATTTGTTGAATGAAGTTTGCATTTCATGTTTGCATTCAATGCTCACATTGGAAGATGAAGCAATGGTCACCTGGGTATGCTCACATTGGAAGATGAAGCAATGGTCACCTGGGTAAATGAAGCAGTGGCCACTTTTGTAGATGGGTAGATCCAGTGGTCACATGGGTAGATGATACACATGGGTATTGATCACATGGGTAGATGAAGCAGTGGCCAAGCACATGTGACAACATAGGTAGGGTAGATGAAGCAATGATCACATGGGTAGATGAAGCAGTGGTCACATGGGTAGATGAAGCAATGGCCACATGGGTAGATGAAGCAATGATCACATGGGTAGATGAAGCCATTGGCTAAATGATCACATGGATAGATGAAGCAGTGGGAAGCAGTGGCACATGGGTAGATGAAGCAATGATCACATGGGTAGATGAAGCAGGTGGCCCACATGGCTAAATGAAGCTACATGGGTAGATTTATGGGTAAGCAGTGACCACATGGGTAGATGAGCCAGTGGCCACATGGGTAGATGAAGCAGTGGCCACATGGGTAGATGAAGCAATGATCACATGGGTAGATACACCATTGACCACATGGGTAGATGAAGCAATGATCACATGGGTGGTGACATAATTAGATTGAGCAGAGGTCACTTTGGTAGATGAAGCAGTAGAGTTTAGATTGTTTATTCTATCTAATTGCTTGAAATGATTGACTTGATTGATCAGTCTCATGCTGAGCTACTTCCTACCACCATTTCACACTTATTTTCATGTAAAACATTTGATCCACAGAGAACAAAACTTCACCATCATGGTTATTAAATCTTCACATTGTTTCATTCATGTGTAGTAATTGCAGGGTTTTACCTCGACTCACAAACATTGTTAGTTTTAAGGGTCCTGACGGACAATATGAAGGTCCTGTGAAGTAACGGTGTAAAGAACTGTATGTTTTGATAATTTCTTTAGAACCTCACGGGAATGGCTCATTGATCATGTGGACTGCTGGGTGAAATGGCACATGAAACTGCTCTGAAAGTAACGACCAAACCCTTAGCAAAGTCATAGATGTGTTGTGGGTCTATGGGTCTTTGGGTCGGTTAACACTGTATGATGTATTGTAATAGAATCACCTTGCAGCCTATCAGATATGCAGAACAGACTGTAATATCCAATCAGAGTGTGGTAAATTCAGCCCATTGATTTCATCCGGGTTGTTTCCTGAACAATGTGTTACTCTTGCTGAGAAGGAACACTTTTTCTGGGAAAACCAATTTGTTTCGAGGCAGGAGTCCTGGTGTCCTGTTCATGTTGTGTCCTTCAATTACTTTTGCAGTTTATTTTTGTGTTTGTTTTTCTCAGAAACCTTGTTACCTTGGTGCAAGTGATATACTACTGCTGCATGGATACACCCTCACATTACAGTTTATGTCGAGGAACTTAAGATCAGGTTACATCCCACTGGGTGCTCCCTACAATGTCAGCAATTAATTAATTCTCAGAATTGTGTTAAATTTATAGCTTTTAGTGCATTAATACACATTTTGATATTTAACAGCAATTACTATAGAAGACTTATTGTTTAACACAGTTTCTAGAACTCTCTGATGGCCATATATTTTGAAAATAGGAGGTTGGCTCACTTTGTGAATAAAGGACCTTGGTCATTCACATCTAGGTGCGACAATGAAGCCAGCTGGTCTGGGATACAGTTATCTCTTATTGATCATGTTAATAGCGTAAAAGCTATTAAACATCGAGAAAAACACAAACCTGTGCATGCATAATCACAGATGTGTGTTTCAGGACATGTTGAAACTGCCAAGCATGTTTTATTTATTAGCTTTGAAAAGTATGAATAATTTGTCCATGAAACAGAACAATTACGGCAGATGCAGTCTCTTACATAGTTACTAGCTTTACAAACATTGTTTAACATTGCATAATTCATGTAAATCTACTTTTCCCAAAGGGTCCAGTTTGAGTTTTGTCGTGTAAAATTGTGTGACAGTGGAGATGAGTAAAACATTAGTCTTATGGTTTACATCCAACAGAATGATTTTTTATTGATTTACAATTTAAATCTGTAAAAAACAGCTATTTGTTTTTAAATTCGTTTCATTTTGTTCTGAAATTAAGCAAACTCTCCAATATAGGAATGAAATGAATTTAGTGATAAGGCACTCATCTTGACATACTTGAAGCCTCTGTTGCATGACCATTTTGTAAACAATTGCAGTGTAAGATTTGCTGGACAAGAGAATCTCCTTGACAATCTTAGCATTTTCATGATTAGACTTTTGGTGATGGTGGTAGGGGTGGGGTATTATCTCAGTACTTCTTGTTGTACTATTAAACTTATGATGTGCTTCCTTACTGGCTGTCTGATTCAGCAAACCTCACCTCTTTCTGTAACTGCAGAGAAATCTCAGCTGTGACTGAAGGAAACAGGGCATACGGTTAACAGACCTCTGACTAAACATGCTCACACATATTTTGCATGTTAATTGTTTGTCTGCTTTGAAAGATACTTTTTGAACTCCAGTTCCAACATGGTGAGAATGAACGAGTGAGTGAGGTTAGTTTTACGCTGCTTATAGCAATATTCCAGCAATATCACGGTGGGGGACACCAGAAATGGGCTACACACATCAATAATAATAATAATAATAATAATAAGTGCATTTATAATTTGCTATACTCCATTCACTCGGTGAATGCTCATAGCGATAACAAAGTCCACTGGTATTTACAAAGTTTGTAATTTGTAGATTAGGCAGTGTTGTAAAACTGTTTAAACAGGTAGGTGTTTAAAGCCCTTTTGAAAGGCAGAAATTTTCAATTCTTTTCAAGTCACAAGGCACACACATTGTACCCATGTAGGGAATCGAACCCAGGTCTTCGGTGGGACGAGTGAACACTTTAACCACTAGGCTAAGCCACTGCCTCTGGAAAGCATGAACAAATATATATTATATATGTTATCTCTTGCCAGTCCTAATCACATAACAATACCAGGTTACTTCTGTTCTACAGCATTTTATATATTTCTGCATGCTGAAATGTTTACGTCACGTGATGGTCATGTGCTAGCAAGGTCAATTGGTGAAATTTAGTCACTTTTATAGAGTCACTTCAGATGTCTTCAGAACAGGCCGATTGTGTTCAGAACAGAATTTGCAATGTTAATTTGTGTATGTTTTGCAACAGGTAATTAACACATGTGTCTAACTGTTGTTCAACTGGGGTAATGAGTTACACAGAATCAACAAAAACATACTCAGTCTCTAAGATGTTGTTTTTCTGTAATCATAAGTATCTCTCTTTGGCTGTTTTTGAGGGGCAATCCACACCTTCAGTAGATGCCACGACTGGGCTTCTTTTGTGATTGATTGCTGTATATTGACGTGGTGTGAGGCTTGAGCTGTATTGAGGGGCGGTGTATTCAACTGTCATGTCATGTAAACAAGAACCCAGTGTTGACATAGCTGTTACTCACACACTTCACTTGAGCTGTAATTGATTTCATTAATAAGAGGGATTATTTCTGTGATGTAATGTTCATATCAGATGTTCCATTGAACAGTTTCTCAATGAAGACAGAAAGACTCTGGTCTTCATGTTGAAAATTCAGGTTGCTTGCTACCGTAGACGTTATTAAAAAGGTTCTGATGTTCTTAAATTAAGGTTTTATATCAGATATAATAATATTATAATCACTTTTGTTATTATTACAGAGAGAAAACTGTGTTTGGTTTGGTTTAGTTCTTCTAAGACATCAGGAGCGGTGGGATAGCCTAGTGGTTAAAGCGTTCGCTCGTCATGCCGAAGGCCTGGGTTGGATTCTCTACATAGATACAATGTGCCATGATGTTGCTGGAATATTGCTAAAAGCAGCGTTAAACCATACTCACTCACTCTAAAACATCAGATTTTACTTGAAGAGTTGCCTCCCCTATCTGTCCCAGGATCAGCATGCACCAGTTTGGCTTTTCATTCCACATTTAGTTAATATTTACCAGCACTAGGAAGCCATTCCAACCTGGAATTTGTTCCACAAAGCAATCTTAGTGCTAAGGTGGTCGTAACTCCATTACAGTAGGCTTACGATCATCGTAGCGCTAAGATCACTTTGTGTACCAGGACCCTGGCTACCTGATTGTCAGTCTCATATTTGTGAAGAAGATGTACACCAATGTATTTGTTCTCATCATCAAGACTGCATTGTTGACATCATTTGAATCTGGGGCAGTGGTTTAGCCTGGTGGTTAAAGTGTTCACTCGTCATGCCAAAGGCCAGGGTTTGATTCCCCACATGTGTGAAGCCCATTTCTGGTGTCCCCCGCAGTGATATTGCTGGAATCTTGCTAAAAGCGGCATAAAACTAAACTCACTCACTCTGAACCCGAGTAAGCTAAAGTACCAAATTTACTGAAATGATTTGCTATGGTTGAGTAGTATCATTTGTAATTCATATTTTCATTTCAATTTCAGGCACTTTTCCCTTTTTACAAAAAAAGTGTGGACTATGATTCCTTCAAAGGTGAGTAATAAATGTAATCTTACAATCTTCATTTACTGTGTCTTGCCAGTATGTTATCTCATTGCTGTGATTGTCATGCAACCTAATGTGTACATCTCTTGAAAATGTAACATCATGGATGAAATAACCACATGTAATATGTGAGTTAATGAACCTGGTGTGGTATAAACGATAATCAATATTAATGATTAAACATTCACACCATCTTGTTTTTTATGCACTCAAGTACAAGCTGTTGGATATGCTATTAAGTGTCGTGTTGTAGTGGGCAATATTTAGACGGAAATTGTAAATCTCAGTTATTAGGGTTGACAGTGTGAGGTTTTTTACTGCAAAAATAAACTATAAGCACAACTAACACTATCAATGCAGATCAATCCTTGTTAATTTCAAGTGCTTGAAATATATTAGCAGTCAGCTATTTTGAGGTCTTTGAAGGGCATTTAGAACATGAGTCATAGTCAGCTATTTTCAGGTGAATTTTTGTAATTTTATGAAACATTTTTATTATCCCACCGGCATGTAATGCGGTGGGATATAGTCGTCGCCTCGTCTGTCCGTAATCATTTTGTTTCCGGAGCATAACTCAAAGACCGTTAGATATTTTTCAACAAAAGTTGGTAGATATGTCAAACATAACCTAAGGTGGTGCCTTTTGCTATTTACAGATTATGGTCATTTTTATTTTTCTCGGTTTCCATGGAAACGTTTTGGACTTAGTCTTAAAGAAGGGTGGGCTTCGTTTCCGGAGCATAACTCAAGAACCGTTCAATATTTTTCAACAAAACTTGGTAGATATATCAAACAGATCCTAAAGTTGTGCCTTTTGCTATTTACAGATTTTTGTCATTTTTATTTTTCCTGGTTTCCATGGAAACGATTCGGACTTAGTCCCAAAAGTGAGGGGTGGGCTTCGTTTCCGGAGCATAACTCAAGAACCGTTCAATATTTGTCAACAAAACTTGGTAGATATATCAAACAGATCCTAAAGTTGTGCCTTTTGCTATTTGCAGATTTTTGGCATTTTTTTTTTCTCGGTTTCCATGGAAACGATTCAGACTTAGTCAAAAGGGCGGGGTAGGTTTTGTTTCCGAGCACAACTCAAAAACTTCTTAATATCTTTCAGTAAAACTTGGCAGATATGTGAGACAGATCTTGAAGTGGGGCCTTTTGCTATTTGCAGATTTTTGTCATTTATTTTTTTCATGATTTCCATGGAAACGATTTGCACTTAATCTAAAATCAAGCTGGACTTTAAGTAACTGTCAGATGATTTGTTCTTTCAAAGATGTGGGGGCCGGGGGGATATGTCATCTTCTGATGACTCTTGTTTTTTATGTCACTGTTCAGTTATATTGTAAGCTTTAATATGATGTGGAAAAATATATACATTTTTTGGGGGGGGGAAATAAAGGGCTTAGGCTGTCTAAAATTACATATGTAAAACAAACACAAGGTTTTATTGCCTTATATAAAATGGATGTCAAGTTGAATTAATGGATATATATTTGTATACAGATAAAATATCAACAGCCAGTTCTGTTTACATAGGACCATTATATATGAGGCAACAAGCAGGATTGGGTGGTCAGGCACGCTTCCCTTTTCAATGCATGGATGCACTGGATCGTCTAGTCCAGACTCGATTATTTACAGACCGCTGTCATATAGGCTGACTGTGTCATTAAACAAAACAATTCAAAATCCTGTGCAGTCACATCTCACATGTATAATGTATAATGTATAAATGCCCAATGTTGTTAAAAACATCATTAACAACACATTAACAACACTAATCTAATACACAAGTTGATATCAACAGTTTATCAAATTGGTCAGTCGTAGCATGTTACAATATTACACATCTATCTCTGCCCATGTACAAAGACTTCGCATAAATTAGCTCTCTCAGTGCTCTGAGGTTAGTCAACATTTCAAAACTCTAGCTGATGTTATCAGCAGCAGTTGTCAGATCAACAGCATCTCTTTTTCAAATTCTACAATTTAATCTAGTTGACATTATCATTCAGCTCAGGTCAATAGTATGTATTTAACTTCTGAATCTAGAGCTCATACAATACAAGTTTATTATAAGGTCTCTGCTGAAACACACTCTTGTTGATGGTAACACTCAGGGCCCTATCTCCCAATGAGATTGTAGTGCCACGATTATGATAACACCGATGTTTAACATGGACGTTTGACAGTCGTAGCTCTCTGATCATACTGTGAAGCAATACCCAGCTGTTTTGATCAATATCATATATCACGATGATGTTTTTCCCATCTTAGATGCATTTAAGTTCATTTTGTCATTCAGTGATTCATGAAATATCTTGTCAATCTCATGATCAGCACCATTCTAAGAAATATTATCAAACATCCACTGACATTCAACTTCATGTTATTTTGACGCTACTGAATATTTGACGGTGTGACATGTCAGTATCATGTGTATTTCATTGCACTGTGGCACGCCATAGTCCTAATGGTCGGAACCAGTCTCATTCGCAGGTTAATGCTGATATTTCACTAGTTTATGCACTGCTGTTAGACTAGTGGATGTCCACATGCTATGCTCTCGTCAATAACACTATAGCCTTAATGTTATAACATGGGGAGTAAAGCACTTTAGTACATGCAGTGGCTGGCAGTTATTAGTGTTGATTGTAGAGTATTCTATTAAGCTGGCACATTTAATGTGAGAAATTTGGTTTCTGTTATGATATTTTTGTGTGCAGATCTAATCATATGTGACAATCTCAAATGTTTTTAAACTAAAAATGACCAGGGTTTTGTACCAAACAATATCTGTAAACTAGGAAATAAATGTCCACCAGCAATTTTCCATCATACTGTCTTGAGAATACCCAATGAGTTACAAGGAATCACATATGATCTGTGAATGAAAGGTGTTAGCCTTTGGTGAGGTATAAAGGGGGACAGATAATCTGTAATTCTGAGATTCAAGTAGGTTTCTCTAAACATTACTCACTGACATTTTAAGGAAAATGACAGGAAATGTGTCTGAAATGAAACAGCTGATTGTTTAGACAATGATAAGGTTTGATAATCAGTTGTGGCGTCATGAACAAAGAATGATGTCATATTTCTTATTTTTCTCACCAATGAGAAACTGTGCTTCAATTGCTTCAACTGAAAAATAGCTTTGAGAATTGTTAACATGTACAAATATGGAAGTTATAACATAAGATCATTCTAATAGTATGGGTAATATATACTGAGGGATACAAATAAAGGAACACATGAAAGTATCAGTATTACGTTCCAGGTATCTTTGCATGCTTTGTATTACACTGTGTGACAATCTGAGAATAAAGGTACACTAAGATGAAGTGGTGTTCCCTTATTTGTTTCCCTCAGCATATTTTCATTCTGTTATGATTAACAACCTAGGCCCGTTGGTCACTGTCTCAGTCTCTCTTATACTCATCTTAACACATGAGTACTTATACCCATCTTAACACATGATTTAATTACTTATACCCATCTTAACACATGATTTAATTACTTATACCCATCTAAACACATGATTTAATGACTTATACCCATCTTAACACATGATTTAATGACTTACACCCATCTTAACACATGATTTAATTACTTATACCCATCTAAACACATGATTTAATGACTTATACCCATCTTAACACATAAGTACTTTTCCCATCTTAATACTGATTTAATGACTTATACCCATCTTAACACATGATTTAATTACTTATACCCATCTAAACACATGATTTAATGACTTATACCATCTTAACACATAAGTACTTTTCCCATCTTAATACATGATTTAATGACTTATACCCATCTTAACACATGATTTAATTACTTATACCCATCTAAACACATGATTTAATGACTTATACCATCTTAACACATAAGTACTTTTCCCATCTTAATACATGATTTAATGACTTATACCCATCTTAACACATGATTTAATTACTTATACCCATCTTAACACATGATTTAATGACTTACACCCAACTTAACACATGATTTAATTACTTATACCCATCTAAACACATGATTTAATTACTTATACCATCTGAACACATAAGTACTTTTCCCATCTTAATACATGATTTAATGACATACCCATCTTAACACATGATTTAATTACTTATACCCATCTAAACACATGATTTAATGACTTATACCATCTTAACACATAAGTACTTTTCCCATCTTAATACATGATTTAATGACTTATACCCATCTTAACACATGATTTAATGACTTATACCCATCTTAACACATGATTTAATGACTTACACCCATCTTAACACATGATTTAATGACTTATACCCATCTTAACACATGATTTAATGACTTATACCCATCTTAACACATGATTTAATGACTTATACCCATCTTAACACATGATTTAATGACTTATACCCATCTTAACACATGATTTAATGACTTATACCCATCTTAACACATGATTTAATGACTTATACCCATCTTAACACATGATTTAATGACTTATACCCATCTTAACACATGATTTAATGAATTATACCCATCTTAACACATCATTACTTATACCCATCTTAACACAGCAGTACTTATACCAATCTTAGCACATAAGTACTAGTCATTTGATTGTTGTTCTTGCATCTCATAATTTCAATCAGGCTACAGGTGAAGCTATTGTAGCATATGGCTGGTCCAGGGTATTTATTGTAATGTAACAAAGATAGAAGACCCTGGATAAATGAGGATGGTATAACACTGACCTGTTGAGATATGGTGTTTGTAAGATGACCTTGTGTTCTCTCCTGCAGCTATCAACAATGCTTGTCTGGTCTACGATGGTAAGCTGGTGATTGATGCATCCTTCCACACCAATGACGTCGCAATCAGAGGTGCTGGCACCCTCACCAAGTTTCAGCGCCGTTACCATGCCGACCAGTGGACACATTCTAACTTCAACTCTAAAGAAGTTGGTATTTCGCTAAGTTTTGAAACATTCCTAATTGGTTGTATTATGGTTAAGCATAGCATCCATGCAAAACTTTCCTGTATCTATTGGCTTTGTATGTGCTTATAGGAGAAATGACTGACTGACTGACTGAGTTTAGTTTTACGCCGCTTTTAGCAATATTCCAGCAATATCACGGGGGGAGGACACCAGAAATGGGCTTAACACATTGTGCCCATGTGGGGAATCGAACCCGGGCCTTCGGCGTGACTAGCCAACGCTTTAACCACTAGGCTACCCCACGCCCTATAGGAGAAATGAAAAGCAATGATTTGTCTACAGCAGATTTCACCTTGTTATGTTTGAACACAGATGTGTTAATCCACTTCCTTTGACTTGATTTAGCTTCCCATCTGTAAGGGTGATGATTTTGAAAACTCCTCATCTTCATTTTTAGATTTCAGTGTGTGACTATAGCCACTTTAATATATTTGAGTCTAGTACAATTCTGATTGGTCTGTTAAGGTCAGCTGACAATAGTCCATATAGTACCTTAAATATCTACTGAAATGATGTTCAGAGACTTGTTTGGGATAGCAAACAAAACCATTTGGACCTATTTGGGGGCACTAAACCTTATTGAATCATATTAGCTAGTGCAACAGCCTAATTTTGTTGATCATCTGCATAGAAGCTACTTACATCTGTGTTGAGATGCTTATCTAGATAGATCATCTTCATATCACCACTGCATGCAGAGTTATGGTCCTTATATATGCCAGGATGATGCGCTGATCATGGGTTAGAATGTAATCCTAATGGAGTGCTACGTTTGTCATCATCTTACTTCTGCTGTTGCAAGTGTCATCAGTGAAGAAATCTCTATATCTGATCTTTTTAGGAGTCTATAACATGTCTGATTGCAGTCACAAGGTGGACAACTCTCAGTGAGGAGATGTACAAGCCCTTTAAGCTTGTACATACCCACACATAACTAACACATGTAACTCGTGTCTTGTGGCTCTGAGCTGAATGGGATTTGTTCATCACTCTATACACCAACTAACTCTTTTCTTATCATCATGCACCGCCTCCGTGGTGTAGTGGTTAGAGCGTCCACCTGGAGAGCGGAAGGTTCGATCCCCGACCACGTCATACCAAAAGACGTTAAAATATGGTACTTGTTGGTCCCTACCTGGCGCTCGGCATTAATGGGTACAACAAGAGCTGGTCGGCTCGGAGTATAATGTGTCTGAGTGGGGTATTCATGCTTCACTGCGGCATGGTATCTCAGTGGGCTAGCACTATAAAACCAGCTTAAGTCTGGGCTAGTACAAGCAGCCGCACCTACACATACACACGCATGCACATCGTCATATGAGCGAAATATTCTCAAGCACGACGTTAAACCCAATTTCACCTCACCTCACCTCATCATCATGCATGTATTCATAAACATTTCAAAGGGAGGATATGTGACATACAGGCTCCCAACTTTCCGCTGTGGCTAAGAGGAAAGTCTTGGATTGCAAACATCAGTTTTATGATCATAAATATTGACCCTACCTACTGTTTATCATCCCAGGTTGCACACTGCCATCTGAAAGATCAATAATCGGAAATACTGTCGATTGGGAAAATTATTAATGATTATTGACATCAAAATTCTAAATTATGTTCAGGAAGGTGTGTTATTAGCATTCCAAGCATAAATGTGTCACCACTCACCAGTAATGTGAAATATGTTGATCTCTTTCAGATATTTTTTCATTTTGTTCTCAAAATTATTTCTCCGATATTTAAGAAAAACAGTTCGCTCTACCACCATGTATAGTGTAATAAACCACACTTTCGCCCTGAACTATTATAGTTAAAGTACGAGGACGCTTGCGTCCGAGTGCTTTAACGTTATAATAGTTCAGGGTGTAGCAACTGCAAACCAAGAAACGGGATGCTTTAACGTTATAATAGTTCAGGGTGAAGCAACTGCAAACCAAGAAACGGGATGCAACAGAGTAGTTTACTGCAGGAGGCCGTACGAGGCGATGACAACTGACATGCATCGTGACGTCGCTTACATTGTGACGTAATGTAAAATGGTTCGATTACGCGGGGGCACACTAGAATGGCGCAGTGACGGGATAACGTCATTCAGTTGTTACGTCATCAAAAAACTATACCTTTATTGTCTGATAATGTATTTTTTTTTATTATTCTAACCGCTAGGCATCTTAGAATTATCAATAATCGATCAATATTCAATCAGTAATGATTGTTCTGTAGGATATATATCGAGAGCCAGCACTAGATGTAGAAAAATGCTTTCCTTCCAATGAGACAGGTTTTATTACTGTTGAGAAACAAAAGCTTGGTTGGACATAATCATGTTGATTAGAGGTGAGTAAGAAAGGTTATAAGTCATTCTTTTATGAGTGTTGGCTAGAGGTTGTTTTATGAGTGTTGGCTAGAGGTTGTTTTATGAGTGTTGGCTAGAGGTTCTTTTATGAGTGTTGGCTAGAGGTTGTTTTATGAGTGTTGGCTAGAGGTTCTTTTATGAGAGTTGGCTAGAGGTTCTTTTATGTGTGTTGGCTAGGGGTTGTTTTATGAGTGTTGGCTAGAGGTTGTTTAATGAGTGTTTACTAGAGGTTCTTTTATGAGTGTTGGCTAGAGGCTCTTTTATGTGTGTTGGCTAGAGGTTCTTTTATGAGTGTTGGCTAGAGGTTTTTTTATGTGTGTTGACTAGAGGTTGTTTTATGTGTGTTGGCTAGAGGTTCTTTTATGAGAGTTGGCTAGAGGTTCTTTTATGTGTGTTGACTAGAGGTTGTTTTATGAGTGTTGGCTAGAGGTTCTTTTATGTGTGTTGGCTAGAGGTTCTTTTATGAGAGTTGGCTAGAGGTTCATTTATGTGTGTTGGCTAGAGGTTCTTTTATGAGAGTTGGCTAGAGGTTCTTTTATGTGTGTTGACTAGAGGGTCTTTTATGAGTGTTGGCTAGAGGTTCTTTTATGTGTGTTGACTAGAGGTTCTTTTATGAGTGTTGGCTAGAGGTTCTTTTATGAGTGTTGGCTAGAGGGTCTTTTATGTGTGTTGACTAGAGGGTCTTTTATGAGTATTGGCTAGAGGTCTTTTATGTGTGTTGACTAGAGGGTCTTTTATGAGTGTTGGCTAGAGGTTCTTTTTATGTGTGTTGACTAGAGGGTCTTTATGAGTGTAGGCTAGGGGTCTTTTATATGAGTGTTGACTAGAGGTTCTTTATGAGTGTTGGCTAGAGGTTATTTTATGAGTGTTGGCTAGAGGTTCTTTTATGAGTGTTGGCTAGGAGGTTCTTTTTTATGAGTGTTGGCTAGAGGTTCTTTTATGAGTGTTGGCTAGAGGTTCTTTTATGAGTGTTGGCTAGAGGTTCTTTGAGTATGAGTGTTGGCTAGAGGTTCTTTTATGAGTGTTGGCTAGAGTGTTGGCTAGAGGTTCTTTTATGTTGGCTAGAGGTGTTGAGGTTCTTTTATGAGTGTTGGCTAGAGGTTCTTTTATGAGTGTTGGCTAGAGTGTTCTTTTATGAGTGTTGGCTAGAGGTTTTTTATGAGTGTTGGCTAGAGGTTCTTTTAGGTTCTTTTATGAGTGTTGGCTAGAGGTTCTTTTATGAGTGTTGGCTAGAGGTTCTTTTATGAGTGTTGGCTAGAGGTTCTTTTATGTGTGTTGAGTGTTGGCTAGAGGTTCTTTTATGAGTGTTGGCTAGAGGTTCTTTTATGAGTTGTTGAGGTCTAGCTAGAGTGTTGGCTAGAGGTTCTTTTATGAGTGAGTGTTGGCTAGAGGTTCTTTATGAGTGTTGGCTAGAGGTTCTTTTATGAGTGTTGGCTAGAGGTTCTTTTATGTGTGTTGACTAGAGGTTGTTTTATGAGTGTTGGCTAGAGGTTCTTTTATGAGTGTTGGCTAGAGGGTCTTTTATGTGTGTTGACTAGAGGTTCTTTTATGAGTGTTGGCTAGAGGTTCTTTTATGAGTGTTGGCTAGAGGTTCTTTTATGAGTGTTGGCTAGAGGTTGTTTTATGAGTGTTGGCTAGAGGTTCTTTTATGTGTGTTGACTAGAGGTTCTTTTATGAGTGTTGGCTAGAGGGTCTTTTATGTGTGTTGACTAGAGGGTCTTTTATGAGTGTTGACTAGAGGTTCTTTTATGAGTGTTGACTTGAGGTTCTTTTATGAGTGTTGGCTAGAGGGTCTTTTATGTGTGTTGACTAAAGGTTTTATGAGTGTTGGCTAGAGGTTGTTTTATGAGTGTTGACTAGAGGGTCTTTTATGTGTGTTGACTAGAGGTTGTTTTATGTGTGTTGGCTAGAGGTTTTATGAGAGTTGGCTAGAGGTTCTTTTATGTGTGTTGGCTAGAGGTTCTTTTATGAGAGTTGGCTAGAGGTTCTTTCATGTGTGTTGGCTAGAGGTTCTTTTATGATTGTTGACTAGAGGTTCTTTTATGAGTGTTGGCAAGAGGTTCTTTTATGTGTGTTGACTAGAGGTTCTTTTATGAGTGTTGGCTAGAGGTTCTTTCATGTGTGTTGGCTAGAGGTTCTTTTATGATTGTTGACTAGAGGTTCTTTTATGAGTGTTGGCAAGAGGTTCTTTATGTGTGTTGACTAGAGGTTCTTTTATGAGTGTTGGCTAGAGGTTCTTTTATGAGTGTTGGCTAGAGGTTCTTTTATGACGGGTGGTGTGTGAATTCTGGGCCTGATTACAAAGGCTGTATAGTACACCCACAATCAACCAGACACTGAAAACAGCCACAGTAGTTGAAACTTGTCTGGAAGGCAAAGTCTGCTCCACCAGCTATCAGAGGGTGGCTACATTTTCCTGTGATTCCAAAGGAATCTAACTGGTGGACAACCATCAATTCATGGTCAGGATTGTGCTAACGGTTAAACAACTGTGTGAGAATATCAAGACTAAACTTGATGGAGAACTAAAATAAATCGTATACATTGAAATTGCCTAATATGTATGTTGACGATGAAAGATTGGCGGCTTTGTTGACAAGGGTACAAGCTGAAGGTGTATTGTTCCACCTGGACTATGCACGGTAAACCTGTGCACAGTTAGATAAGTAACAGCCGGATTTCCACGTTTCACAAACTGGAAGTAAAATTTTTTTGCATCACCAAGAAGAAGCTTTAATAATAATAATAAAAGATATATTTAGCGCGCCATTTTCCACCCACTGATACATGCTCAAGGCGCTACAAAAAACATACATACAATGCATACAGAGGATAAAATAGTAAAATAAGTATACATTGAAATTGATGACAGAAAGATTGATTTTAGGGATAGGCTTTGGAAAAAAAGAAAGTCTTCAACTTAATTTTGAAAGTTTCCAATGTGGGAGACTGCTTTATGTGGAGAGGGAGAGAATTCCACAGAGAAGGACCAGCGTACTGGAAAGACCTCTTACCAAGTGGACAAGACATTTGTTGAATAACAATTACCAACCAACACATGAACACAGTCCAACTTAAGTTAGGTCAAGAAATTATCAGCCACCCCCATAGCAATATTCTAGCAATGTAACTGCAGGGACATCAGAAAGGGCTTTACATCCCATGTTGGGATATGAACCCGGTTTATCAGCCTACTGTGTGAATGCTTTAACCACACAGCTACCCTAAACCATGTTATGTCCAGGATCAGTTTGATGGCATTGTTTGCCCATTGACTGGATGCAGACTTCTTGTGTGAGATCTGATGATGTGATGTCAGATATACGCCCCTTGATGATTGCTTTTATTGGCTCAACCAAACAATGCATCTGCTGAGTGAACATTATAATGAAGCAATAACCAGACCCAAAGTCATGTCAGTGGAAAATAACATTACTGGTAATCTTGCATTGGTTTTGAAGGACTGTGTGAGTTGATTACTAGCTATATGTTTACTAAGGAAATCAACCTGCCAACCATGGTATCATGCTTCTAATAGCCTTTGTATTTGGAAGATCAATTAACAGCAACTTAGCCCTTTGCACTTGTAAGGCTGTAGGTTACATCAAAGCGTTGCTGGGCTGGGCAGTGTCACTCTGACTCTATAACGACCTGCAGTGCTAGATGGTCATTAAAGAGCTATATTTAATAGTATTGCATGTTCAGTTAATTACATATCTGGATTGGATTATTGATCAGCTTCTGTTACTAGTATTCTGTTTGTCTTGTTGGCACGATCAGAGCTCCAGATAAGATTTAGCTCATGTGGGTACTGTACCCACTGTATTTTGTTGGAGTGGGTATTATGAATGTTGAGTGGGTATTTCATTTTCCTTTACCCACTGCTTTCAAATATGTGCGTATTTCAGTCATTTTACTCACCTAAGTATTATGTCATTGAGTAAGTTTACTAAGCAGGTATGTCCTACCTTATGTCATACCTAATCAAAACCAACTTAAATATAATGGAAATGATTTCATAAAAAAATCACTCATCCTATACTGACAGTACAACACTTGTCCTATACTAACAGTACAACTTGATAGCAATTGATGTCTTTTTCATTACGCAAGCGATTTTTATAAATATATTCCGTACGCATTTGTTTTAAATTTTTTGCGTATCGAACATTTTCAATGCGTAATTGGTACGCCACAATTATTTTTCAATGCGTAATTGGAAATTTTCTATGCATATTTTACCCGGATACTCAGCTTATCTGGGCCTCTGGGCACGATATCTCATAAACTGGAATCTAATCCTGTTTGATCGTGTAGATATTTCATAAAAATATAATTCTCAACCACAGTGGGGGTACTTTGACCTTAATCCATCCATTGTCAGGGGAATATTTTTGTTTATATGTATTGTTTGTTTTAGTTTGCTGTATACAAGAACCAGTATAATAAGTACCAGTATAGATAACAATTACATTCACTATACCATGGCGACGGATGAATGAAAACAAAGTCAGAAATAGACTGAGATCCAAGTCTTTATTTTCAACAACTTACTGAGTATTCCAAGAATGTTCAGTGACATGTTATGTACAACAATGTTGTAGTTAGCAGACTGTGATCCTGTTGTGACAAGTCGACATTGACGTGTGTCAAACAATGATGCTCACCTGTCATAGACATTGCACCAATGGCAAAAACAGAACATGCAGATATACATTCACATTGGGGGTTTCCTATAATGTGCGACAATCTTCTCTTTGAATTAATTCTGGAACTGTGAGTTTGACTACCGTATTTGCTGAAATAAGCGCCCTAGATTCTAAGAAAATTGGCAGTAGGTGCTTATTTTGATGACAAGGAGTTTGTTTCTTCAGAGATTAAGTGTTTGTAATCATTGATGAATCAAAACTAGTTCAATAATAGTTCCGAGGCAGGTCCGTACCCCCTTTAAGACTCCTGTTTTCTATAACATTTGTGTAATATACTCTAGAAAGTATGGAATATGGGGAGCTTACATCATTATGTTTTTCCGGACTTGAGGTAAGCCAGGGGGTTCTTACTGGAGCAGAATATCAAGAATACAGTAAAAGTAAAAAATCAGGATTCCTGGGTGGTATTGGTCCCTGGTAACCATATCATAGGAGATGACTTAGTGACTCAGCTGATTACTCTAACTGTGTGGATGAAACTAATTTTAGGCCCAAACTTGATTATTTTCAGGCTCAGGAATAGTTATATTGCCAAGTGCCTCATGAAACGAAATTCCTAATAATAATGTTCCGTTTATTGATTTACTAAAAAATACTACCAAATGATTGACATATTTTTAGCCATTTTGTAAGAGTGATACATTTCTGACTAATTATATGATTATTGGCAAAAATGTGTGACATGAGAGTCATGTGTTTGTCAAATCTATTTGGACAACAAACATGAGGTTCATACCCCAAATCCACCAGCAGGAATGGTCTTACCACTTTCTGGTGTTTTTAGCAAGAAACAGAAGAAAGGAACACCTAGTGAGTTCCAGTACTTGTAGCTACTTTGAGAGAATGGAACCCGGGCAGTAAGGCTGATGTTTGGTTGTGAGCTGGGATGCAAGATGTTCGCAGAAAGGAAAAGGGAACTTTAATTGTTTCTTCTGCAAATGGATCAAATATTTTCTGGTTTGATGTTTTTTCAAGAAATACATATCAAAAAGATTTCATAACTGTATAGAATGTATTTATGAAAACAGACCCACTACAAATGTTTTTAACAATGAAACTAAAAATAAACTTCATACAAAAATATTCATTTCAACTCTTGTAAAAACAACTGTCACGTCTGTCATGCTGGGTGCCGTTGTACTAAACAACCTTAACGCTAAGACTACCTTAAGTCTATGTTAAGGTATGGGAGTTACGGTTACCTTAGCGCTAAGGTTGTTTTGTACAACGGCACCCAGATCATTAAAGAAATACTTCCAGTACAGCCCATGTAAGTCCATACAGTAGTTCTCCAGGCTAGATTCCTACAGTTTCAATGAAAGTGGAGAAAGTCTCTATTCTAATGTTTCATTATAATTATTTCAGATAATTTAAAACTGTTTCCTTCAGTGAAAAATGAAATTTGGGAGACTAGATGACTGCTGAGTGCATTAAGGAGAAAAATACTGATATATGCTAAAGTTAGAACAACTGGACATAGAGTACTCTAGTTACTAGTGGCGTAGTACCATCAGCTTGTCAGGTTTAACCGCTCTTGACCTACACTCTACATATCTGTTTGTACAACTGCCTAGAGCCAAGAGTTGCTGTAAATAAATATTTGTCACTGTAATTACTCCTCCTCTAAATGGCGCTAGATGTTATTTGACAGTTCTTTGCTCCTCCTGTAAGTCATAACACCCATTTCCTTGGTCTCAGGCTTGCCTTTCCCATAGAGAAATATTTAACATGGTATGTGCTACTTCGTGAAAATACATAAACTTTAATGATAAAACAAGAACTCATTCTGCACAGAAAATATTTGATGGATAGAAAAGAAATGATACTTCCTTTTAGAGTTACTTCTCTGTTTGATAATTTTGTAACATACAGCTAAAACTGTTGTAATTTGGTAAGAGGGGAGATATTTATGTCAGTGGCATAGCAGACAATTTAGACTAACCCCATGAAACTGGCTTCTACAAAGTCGAGGCTTCTTGCAGTTACAGTTACTGACTATATTGTGTGCACTAGTTGACTGGTGTACCTTCAGATTGATTTCCTTATCTGATTGTGTTCAAATCCTGTACTCACACTACCCTTGCAATAGCACAATACTGTTATCAATGTCAATAAATGAAGAAATATCTTTAAATATGTACATATTTTACATAAATATTTGAGAACAAAGTAACAATGCTAAATCACAATGTGTCAACACAAATATAAATACTTCTTCTAAAACAAAACAAACAAACATATTCCGGACCTAGCCCTGTTTGACAGCAGCATGGATAAATGGCACATTCAATTATTAACACATGTTGAACATTTAAATCAGAAATATGATGGCGTGTGTATTCCGGGTCACATAGTTTACACTTTCATTGTAACTGAACAGCAGGAGGGGAACATGGATAAATGGCATCATGACTGTGAGATGTAGTTTCAGCTGGTTTACTTGTTGTTTGATGCCATTCAGCAATATTTCAGCTTTTTGATGACAGACTGTAAATAATCAAGTCTGGACCAGACATTTCAGTGACTGATGCTGTAACAATCAATATGGGGTACAATGACACAAAATCACCAAACTTGACCGTCTGATCCATTCGGTCACCTCTTTTGACCAGCATAGGTTGAAGGTGACCAATTCTTACCCAGAATTCACTGGTTAAGATGGACTTGTACTATTGGAAGGGACTTGAGCAAGATTAGGTCTGAACACTACGTTTCTCTTACCTGGGTTACACCAATATCCTTACAGTGCTAATAAATACATTTGTTCTAACTTCTGTCAGTATTTTGTCGTGACAAAATCTGACGTTCGTCACACTTTCAGTACTTTACCATTGTTGATGGAACGGCGCCATTTCTTGTTTCAAGATTGTCACGGGTCATGTTTGAGTTGTTCCCTGAATTTTCATCAGTGTTCAACTGACCAGTCCTGGTACCACAGAAGAATATTTTCCTGAAGGCGTTCTTGTACTGTGTGTTTCCATAGGCATACAGGAAGGGGTTTAACACAGAGTTAGCATGACTCAACACAATTGCTGCCAACAGGAACTCATAAGGGACGGAGCATTCCATCCCACATATCAGTGTTAGGGTGTTACAGATGTGCACAGGCAGCCAGCATATTGCAAAAAGTCCAATAACCATGGCCAGAGATTTAGCTGCTTTGATTTCCTTCATAAATTTCTTGTTCTTCTTCTTTCCCTCAGCTGCCACCTCGAGGGCTGCGATCTGTCTCATCTGTCGCTTGACGATGATGAATATATAGATGTAGATTAACATGACAATTATCAGTGGCGTAATCACAAAGCCAAAAAAGTTAAAATACACCATGTAATTCATGTCAATGACGTCTGTGAAACCACATGTCTTGTAACCAGTTTGTCCCAGATTCCATCCGAACATCGGAACCAGCCCGATCAGGATCGCAAATATCCATGTGACAACAAGGGCCATGATGGCACGGGGAATGGTCATGACACGTTGGTACAGGAATGGATGTTTGATGGCGACAAAGCGTTCAATCGCCACGGCTAAAAGTCCGAAAATTGACACTTGAGTAAAAAGAATTATGACAGAGTTTATGAAAACACATGCATAAAAGTCCATGCTGAGATTGAGAAAACTGAGAGCGGCACATGGTGCGACTACAATCCCCACAAAAAGGTCAGCCAGTGCCAAACTCGCAATGAAACAATTTGTGGTCGTCTGTAGCTTGGGTGTCTTGTAGATAGCGACAAGGACAAGGCCATTGCCTACCACAGATACAAAGCCTATTATAGTCTCAAATGTTATGTACAAGATCGCTCGAGCTTCCATTGCGTTGTCAATCACTGATTAGTTTCTTGTAATTGATGTTTCCATCAAAGAGATACTTTTCACTTCTCGTTAAATTTTCAAGGTGAAGCTTCTTCAACCGTGACAAACATGTATTGCTGCTTTAGAGACAGATATCCTTTACCAAATTAGGAATCTGTGTCTATGTAACCATGTGAGCTTAATACATGTATTTGTACATAAACATTGGTAGACAAATGTAAATTGCGCCACAGCTGAAATCGACAGGCTAATCCATAATTTGTTACCACATGTGTACACTACACACTCCCAACTGATCTGTTATAAAACATCAACATGTCAATGTTATATGTCCACAGACCATCCTCCTCATTGTCATAATCCCCTACTGTCCAATCACGCAAGCAGGAAGTCTTCTCTGTGCATGGCCCTCGGTTGGTCAGCCAGCGACTGACAACATCAAAACAACCAATTGCTCACTGTCAACAAACTAGTTCACTGTGATTGATGTCAGTTTTCAATGAGCTTACTGGAAATTGTTTGCTTGGATTTAAAGCCAGCAAACATTGATATATATAGGAAGTGCCAGTTGGCATTGGGTTCTTGGGTCAGATAATAGGTCGTCAGTTTCAAGTGACTTGACTAATTGGTGCTTGTCAGAGGAAGTGGTGACACTGCTGGTATTTGCTCTTCTCCTCGGGGTGTGTGTGCGGCACTTGGTCCCAGGGAAAATTGGTATGATGAGCGGGAGGCACCGAGGAATATTGGCCACTAATGTGGAATATCTGTATGGTCAGTGTTCTTCTCTGTCTGGAGTCTTGTCTCTGGCAGTATCAGTTATCCAGCTTTCATAAGTCCATCTGAAATACATGGTCAGGCATTGTTACATTTGCAGTGTGGTAAATATTTTGAGCATAATATAAAGGGTTGACTTTAGCCAAGGTTTTTCAAGCACTACTTTGTATACTTATTTTCTTTATTTACATTTTTAAATGAGCTTGTGTAATACAGATTAGTCTGTTTGAAAACTGTAATTATGGATAATTTGCCCCACCTATTATTGAATTAAATTCACATGTATGGAAAATTTGGGGGTATAAGATATTTAGGCAAGAAGTAGGGACCCCTTCTTGTAGATCTGCCTGGTTGTGCATATAAATTAGAACTTCTATTCAGATTGGCAGCATATGAACATGGTAATTTGGCCAAGAAGTTTAACTTATCTTGGTAAGCTGCAGGTTTATCATTAATTGTTTAATAATGGAACAATAGTTTATTTCCTTCTGGTGATTTAACCACCTGTGCTAGGAATATAAGAGACCAGTGAAACCAAATCATCAGTTGCATCATTACATCAACAGTTTCATCATTAGATCATTACATCACCAGTTTCATCATTACATCACCAGTTTCATCATTAGATCATTACATCACCAGTTTCATCATTACATCAACAGTTTCATCATTACATCACCAGTTTCATCATTAGATCATTACATCACCAGTTGCATCATTACATCACCAGTTTCATCATTACATCACCAGTTTCATCATTAGATCATTACATCACCAGTTGCATCATTACATCACCAGTTTCATCATTAGATCATTACATCACCAGTTTCATCATTACATCAACAGTTTCATCATTAGATCATTACATCACCAGTTGCATCATTACATCACCAGTTTCATCATTAGATCATTACATCACCAGTTTCATCATTACATCACCAGTTTCATCATTACATCATTACATCACCAGTTTCATCATTACATCACCAGTTTCATCATTAGATCATTACATCACCAGTTTCATCATTACATCAACAGTTTCATCATTAGATCATTACATCACCAGTTTCATCATTACATCACCAGTTTCATCATTAGATCTGCGCATAATGATTTAGAATGGCAAAAATCTATTCACAAGAATGTATGCCAAAAGGATGAACTTTCCACCTGTCAGCTTTCACTTCATGTTGGGCTATTTCCAGCAGCTCCAGCCATTTGTGACTACATTTCACAACTTTGAGGTACAATCGAGCATGCTCTTTCTAAGAAGATTTGAGAGTGTAATATGACTCTTACTCAGAAGGTGTTGAACAGGATGTTCCAGGTGACAGTTGAACTTTCAGCAAGATTTATGGTGGACAATAAACATGTGAAGGACATTTCCAAATTTGATGCATCAACAACAACACAATGTCTGAAGCAATTCCCTATTTGAACTTGGACCATATATTCCTGTGTTTTTGTCTAAACAGTTGACTTGCCTTTGCGTGTGTTTGTGATGGCTGCCACTGATGGGGCAGGATAGACTCACTATGGGTTGATTCCTAAACACATGCTTATGATAAAGGTAGAATCCTACCATGGATTCTGCAATAAGACAATTATAAGATTCTTATTTCTACTGATGATGGAGATATTTTTAGCCATTGTATGTGGTCAGAGTAAACAATATCCTTTTCACTTTGACTTGACACTGTATATAATTCACATCTTTCCTACCTCACTGATTGAATGAGCTGAACATCATGACTGAGGAATTATTAACACATGATTTTCAGTGTTAAGCAAGGAAGTCCTGAGTGCTATAACTTAAACCTTAAGCTTTAGGGATTCTCTTTAAAACTAAAATAATATTGCATGGACCCCTTTAATTTCAAACACTGATTACTATAATAGTATTTTCCTTTACAACATAAATGTTATTTTTGAAATAATATGACAAATTCTCAAAGTGATTCATAGTAGGTCTTCCAAACAACATGTAAATTGCCAACACGTCTCGTGTGTCCAAGGTCAGTGTCTTTCAGCAGTCAATTAGTGAGATGTCGATTCTATTCTCCACCTCTTTTAAAGATCTTGCTATGTACCTGACTTGTCAATGGGGAAGTGTCTGAACTCTGTGAATCCTGTTATTACTATCTCAGGGCTATCGGAAGCACATGTCCTCCGCTGACTGAGGTTTTGACAGCCACACAAGTGCAGTCTCGACTACTGTCCTGTACAGACCATTGCAACTGTTTGCTTCAGATCATCTGATGAGACTTCAGCAATGGACGTCAATGGATACAACATACCATCTCAGATGTTGTTACTAATTATTATTATTATAGGATATTTATATAACGCACATATCCAGGCAACTAGTGCATGCTCAAGGCGCTGGTATTTGTTCCCTCGATCATTGGATGTCAATCTCAACGTCACATCGTATTATCAATCTCAACTCCCTGGGGAGTATACAACTCTTGCAGCCACTAGGCGCTACCGAGTTATTGTGGCTTCTCATCCTATCGAGGCGCCCATTCACAGCTGGGTGGACTGGGACATGTAGTCACAGTAATTTGTCCAAGTTCACTGCACGTTGCTGTACCCGCAACTAGGTGTTCGCACATATTCCTGTGGCCACCATCTGGTCATATACCAACGGATTCGTGGGTTCTTTTAAGTGCACAGGGTTGTGTACTGTACACTAGGGGTTGTGACAACACTGAAAGAGTCTACACACAAAGTTGACTCCAAGGTTTTTACACCCGGTCACTAAAACATGGGTCTGTTGCTATATATCCTGTATTGAGAAACCTGCATGGGTTCTTGCCACCCTACTACTTATTTCTCAAAAAAACAACCCATGCTGGTACATGAGATACAGTTATATACAGTTTTCAGTATGTATGAGTGAGTGAGTGAGTTTAGTTTTATGCAGCTTTTAACAATATTCTAGCAATACCATGGCAGACTACAGTAAGTATAGTTACACATTGTACCCATGTGGGGAATCTTCGGTGTGACAAGCGAACGCTTGAACCACTAGGCTACCCCACCACCCCTCAATTTGTACAAAATGGCAACACAACAAAAATAATGAAAATAGAATAAGCAGATTGTAATTGATTACACATGATCACAGCATTAATACAAACCATTCAGATGTCATCAATAGTTGTCAAAACAGCTTGGGACATTTTTCATTTAAGAGATGACATCACTGTTGGAGGAAATATGCTCAATCAAATAAATAATGAAACATATCTCCCACAGCAATTGAATCACAGATTGACAAGGTGTCATTGACTGGTTTCAGTAGGTTATCTGTGATTGCGTGTTCTGAATTGTGATTTTGATTTTGTCAGTAAAAGATTTCTTTCAAATGAAATTTGTTACTTTAGACACTTATAATATGACCCTTTCTAGCTTAATTCAGCACCTGATTTTCAATTTTGAATTGAAATCTGTATATATTTTCAAGCACTGACTTCCACCATCGTGTGGAACATACCACTGGGTTTTGAAATACATGTGATAGACTGCAGTTATCAAATACATTCTTAATAAAGTCTGACCATGGTATATTCTCAAAGGAGAGTAGAAACCTAAACCCTGTCATATGGGTGACAAATAACATTGCCATAAAACTGGTTGTCAATCCGGTTTAATTTTTGTGTCATATTTTCTTAACCAGGGTAAAAAATCTATCCCACGTTCTGGAAGTATGTGCTATATATAGACCAAGTGCCTATATGTTATCAAATGTTTTTTTAAAATGTACAAATCCTGAATAGGATTTTGTTTTTAAGAGTTGCAGTATTTGCATCCTCATTAACACAGTTTCATGTCCAGTAGAGAAGCCTTTTCTAGAGCTGTATTCCATGCAGGAAGTTGAAGTCCTACAGCTTCCTTTGTCATTTCAATTAGCTGTGACCAGGAATGACATACCCGGCCATCTGTGAACTGGCCAAGCACTCTCTCAGTTTAAGGTTTCACGTTATAAATGTGCACAATGTATTATGACTGATATTGACTTTTTCTGTATGCGCTGTAAGCATGTCGTCAGTGTGGAGTATATTATTTTTATCATTTACTGACTGAGATAAATAAATGCAGTAAAGAGGGTTCAGGTAGCACAATAGGCTGGCTAGGCTGAGACATTATTTCAGGGTCCTTGAGGCCTTACGAGTCTAGTCAACCTAGACAGTAAATGGGACTTCCTCCAGGAAGCTATGCTTAGTCAAACCTAGACTAAGGCTTAGTCTCTGAATATATATAATTTTGATAGGAACAAACAAGCCCATTTAAATTGAAAAGGAGCCCTAGGGAGACCAGAGATTCAGAAACTGTACACAAGGCCTCCACTATAGCTTCAGGTCACCCAATGTGCTTGTTAATTAAGAGTTGACAGATGAAAATGTGAAGCAAGATTCCAGACCACTGGTGAGGATGTTGGTCTGGCCAGATATGTTTACTTTGTAACCCGACCCCCAAAGTGAGTTAGTTTTCTTGCAGATGTTAACAGACCCTGAACCTGAGGAAATCTAGACTTGCTTTATTTAGGGCTTTAGCACTGCAGAGAGAGCTGGGCAGTAGGGAAAATAATGTGGTTCAGGGACTGTGAGACAGACTAAGTCAAACCTACTAAAACCTTTTTGGACGACCCAGCATGCCAATAGTGCTGTGTTCTTGGCAGCAATCCCTGCCACTCTCTTGACCGATCCTAAGGCACTAAAGGGGGAGTTGGACAACTTGGTACTTGAGATGCACGCATGATATTTCATAAGCAAGGTTTGCATGTTTGCCATGTTTTTCCTGAATCTTGTCAATCACATTACAGTCAAAAGAGACAGAAAATTCAATGATAGAAATAATTTCGTTGGTTTTATCGAAAAACAACATGGTCAGGTGTGTTGGTGTGAATACGTTTGAGGTACTGTATTAGGCCTATTCCTAAGAATTATAAAAATTGTCATTTTTAAAATGACACCCTCATACATTCATGGTTGTACTATGGATGGAGTTTGGAGTCAAAACACCAACATGGTGAAGATAGTAACCAAATTATCGCTTAAGA